CCGTTTCCACAATGAGGTGACTTTTGAGTCGACTCAAAAGTCACCTTGACTAGGAACATCCCAACGGAGTCCCTTTCATAGCTGTTTCTGCACCTGCGGGTGTATCTGAATGAAGGGTAGCGGGCTGGCATGGCATCCCCCCATCCCATTCCCATCATTCCGTTTCCACAATGCCACCCACTCACTCGATCCTGTAGGAGCAAAAGAAATCGCTACGTGGGAACAAGCGACGCTCATCCACACGCCATTCCCATCGTTCCATTCCCATCGTTCCATTCCCATCGTTCCTTGCAAGGATAAGTCCATTCATGCCGTCGTTCAGGCCCTCTCTGTGGCGCACGTGTTGACATTTGAGTCGACGCACTGACCATATCAGTTCCTTGCTCCGTCCCCTCATCATCCCGTCTCGTCTCCCTCCCTGCCGCCCGCAGGAGCAAAAGATAAACAAGGATAAGTTCATTCAGGCCGTTCAGGCTCTCTGTGTGTGGGGCGCACGTGCTGACCCTTGTGAGTCGACTCAATGACCATCAATTCCTTGCTCCGTCCCCACGTCATCCCGTCTCCCTCCCTGCCGCCCGCAGGAGCAAAAGATAAACAAGGATAAGTTCATTCAGGCCGTGCAGGCTCTCTGTGTGTGGGGCGCACGTGCTGACCCTTGTGAGTCGACTCAATGACCATCAATTCCTTGCTCCGTCCCCACACCATCCCTTCTCTTCTCCCTCCCTGCTGCCCGCAGGAGCAAAAGATAAACAAGGATAAGTTCATTCAGGCCGTGCAGGCTCTCTGTGGGGTGAACATGTTCAAGCAACTCATGCAGCAGGTGCAGGTGCGTGGGAGAGAGCAGTGCATATAGGTGCAGGTGGGTGCAGGTAGGTGCAGGTAGGTGGGTACATTTTTTAGTCAACCCAAACCACGCCTAGAGGTTCATTCAGGCCGTTCAGGCTCTCTGTGGGGTGAACATGTTCAAGCAACTCATGCAGCAGGTGCAGGTGCATGGGAGAGAGCAGTGCATATAGGTGCAGGTGGGTGCAGGTAGGTGCAGGTAGGTGGGTACATTTTTTAGTCAACCCAAACCACGCCTAGAGGTTCATTCAGGCCGTTCAGGCTCTCTGTGGGGTGAACATGTTCAAGCAACTCATGCAGCAGGTGCAGGTGCGTGGGAGAGAGCAGTGCATATAGGTGCAGGTAGGTGCAGGTAGGTGGGTACATTTTTTAGTCAACCCAAACCACGCCTAGAGGTTCATTCAGGCCGTGCAGGCTCTCTGTGGGGTGAACATGTTCAAGCAACTCATGCAGCAGGTGCAGGTGCGTGGGAGAGAGCAGTGCATATAGGTGCAGGTGGGTGCAGGTAGGTGCAGGTAGGTGGGTACATTTTTTAGTCAACCCAAACCACGCCTAGAGGTTCATTCAGGCCGTGCAGGCTCTCTGTGGGGTGAACATGTTCAAGCAACTCATGCAGCAGGTGCAGGTACGTGAAGCGTGCAACCCCATTCAACCGCATTCAGCCAGGTACAACCGCATTAAAGGTCTTTGTGGGGGGGAACATGTTCAAGTAGCTTATGCAGCAGGTGCAGTTGCGTAGGGGAACGCAAGTAGGTGCAGGTAGGTGCAGGTAGGTGCAGGTAGGTGCAGGTAGGTGCAGGTAGGTGCAGGTAGATGCAGGTAGATGCAGTTAGATGCATGCAGGTAGGTAATTGTATCATGAGTCGACTCAAACACACCTAGTAGCCCATCCACACCGTTCAGGGTCTCTGTGGGGCGTCACGAGCGATTGGCAGCAGCAGCAGCAGCAGCAGCAGCAGCAGCAGCAGCAGCAGCAGCAGCAGCAGCAGCAGCAGCAGCAGCAGCAGTTACTGCTGTTTGTTTCAGTCGACTAAAAAAAAACCATTCTATTCCCTTTCTTCTCATTCCCTGCAGAGAGAGAAGATTATGCAAATGAAGGTAGCTGCTGCTGCTGCTACCAACAACCACATGGCACCGCACTCCACTCCCGTGGGCCCCCTTGCACCTCCTGCTACATCCGGCCCTCCCAGCAGCACACACCCAGGCGCATCTGTAACAGGACCAGCAACAGCCGGAGCAGCAGCCTTGGGATCAGAAGCAGGCTCGGGAGCAGGCTTGAGAGCCGGCTTGGCCGGGCCTGGGTCCGTGCAAGGAGGGTTGGGAGCAGGGACAGCTGGTGGTGTGGCAAGGGAAGGTGGGGGGATGGTAGGTGGCCCTGGGGTAGGTGGGACTGGAGCAGGTACAGCTGCTGGTGCTGCTGGTCTAGGGAATGGGGCAGGCAATAGAGTGGGTGTTGGAGCAGGGGGGTTGGGGGAAATGCAGGGAGGGACAGCCTTTCAGCAGCAGCAGCAGCAGCAGCAGCAGCAGTTGCAGCGGCAGCAGCAGCAGCAGATGCTTCAGCAGCAGTCACCAGGAGCGAAGCTTGAGCCAGGAGCAAGTGTAGCCATGACTATGGGTCAGCCACAACCATACCACCCCATGCAATCCCCCCCACTCCGACCAACCATCCCTCCCCACCCCTCCCACCCCTCCCAAGCGTTCCACACCTCTCCGTACCCCATACCTCGCCCCCCAGTCTCTCCCGTCCCTCCGAAGCTAGAGCCTGGGGTCAGATACCCATCCGTTCCCCACCCCGCCTATGTAGGTTCGGCACCGGGGCAGATAGGCTCGGTGCCGCTGCAGGCTGGGGTTCCGACCCCACATGTAGGTCTGGCAGGGGCAGTGTCGGGAGTGGGTATGGATGGGAAGGGGGAGGGGGTATCTGCAGGTGCTACTGCGGGACAAGTCCCACCAGGTGCTGTAGGTGTTACTACACCAGCAGCAGTGCGAGAGGCAGCATCAGCAGGTGTAGCTGCAACGCTACCAGCAGCAGCAGTTGCAGCAGCAGCAGCAGGAGCAGCGACAGTGGGTGCTGCTGCAGTTCCAGGGAAAGTGCTAGCAGAAGGAGCAGGAGGAGGAGGAGCAGCAGGGGCAGGGGCAGGGGCAGGAGCAGGAGGAGCAGCAGTAGGGGGAGTGGCAGGCGTAGCTGGGACAGGGACGGAAGCAGCAAACAATGCAGGAGCCAGTGTGCCGGGGGCAAAGGCGACTGGGGTAAAACCCGGGGCAGGAGCAGGAGCAAAAACAGGTGTGGGTGGGAAACCAGCAAGTGCAGCTGCTGGTGGTGCTGGTGGTGGTGCTGTAGCAGGTGCTGCTGGGACTCCTGGGGGCCGTCCCTTAACCAAGTATGAGAAGGCTAAGCTGAGGAAAGAGGCGAAGAAGAGAGAGGAGGAGGCGAAGAGAAAGGCGGAAGAGGAGGAGAAGAAGCGGATTGCTGCTGGGGGGGCGCCTGACGCTGCTGCTGCTTCTGGTGCTGCCAGTGCAACCGGTGCTGCTGCTGGTGCTGCTGCTGGTGGTGGTGGTGCTGCTGCTCCTGCTGCTCCTGGTACAGCCACTGCTGGTGGAGCAGCAGTCAAATTAGAGGATGGATTGCCAGCGGTAGGAGCTATAGGAGGAAAGGCGCCAGCAGCTGCAGGAGCAGCGGGCGCGGCAGGGGCAGTAACAGCAAGAGGGACAGCAGCAGGGGCGGCAGGGGGATTGAGAAGAGAAGAGGAGCCGGAGGTGAAACGGCTGAGGCTGACAGAGACTGATGGCGGCGCCATGCCCTCTGCTAGTGCTGCCGCTCTTCCTGCTCCTTCCACCAACTCCGCTGCTGCTGCTGGTGCTGCCGCCGGTGCTGCTGCGGGTGCTGGTGGTGGTGCTGCTGCGGGTGCTGGTGGGGGTGCTGCTGCTGCTGGTGGGGGTGCTGGTGCAGCAGCAGCTGATGCCACGGCTGCCCAACCAGGCAGACCAGGAACAGCAGGTGCAGGGGCGGCTGCACCAGCCAAATCTTCCACAGCAGCAGCACCACAGGTCCGTTCCCATCCCCCCATCCTCCTCGCTGGTTTCTGAGAATTTTCAGAAACCTTCTTTTCCCAACCAATCAGACCAGCAGCAGGTGCAGGGGCGGTTGCACCAGCCAAGCCCTCCACAGCAGCAGCACCACCAACCATAGCATCATAGCACCCAACCCAATAGAAACAATAATTTTCTTCTTTTACCAGTTCTCCTCTCTCTCCTTACGTTTTCCTCACAGTCCTCTCCTCGTTTCCCCATCCTCCCATCTCTCTCCCAACATCTTTCCCAAAACCCCAACCACAGCCCCCAGGCTCTCAAGCCCCTCAGCAGTATTCTTGACTCATCGTCTCCTTTCCCCCATCTCTCTCCCAACATCCCAACCTTTCAAAACCCCAACCACAGCCCCCAGGCTCTCAAGCCCCGCAGCCACCCGGCAGCAAGCACCCAACAGAGGCATCCGCGCCAGGGCAACCCCCTCCGTGAGTGATTGGCTTACTCCAAGTACTATTGAGTGCTGGGCGTGTTTTCTGATGATGAAGGGTGTATTATCCACGGCGCTCTCAAGCCCCGCAGCCACCCGGCAGCAAGCACCCAGCAGAGGGATCCGCGCCAGGGCAACCCCCTCCGTGAGTGCTGGGCGGGTTTCCAGAATGAAATGGGGCGTGTTTTCAGAATGAAACGGGGCGTGTTTTCAGAATGAAACGGGGCGTGTTTTCAGAATGAAACGGGGCGTGTTTCCAGAATGAAACGGGGCGTGTTTTCAGAATGAAACGGGGCGTGTTTCCAGAATGAAACGGGGCGTGTTTTCAGAATGAAACGGGGCGTGTTTCCAGAATGAAACGGGGCGTGTTTTCAGAATGAAACGGGGCGTGTTTCCAGAATGAAACGGGGCGTGTTTTCAGAATGAAACAGGGCGTGTTTCCAGAATGAAACGGGGCGTGTTTTCAGAATTCCAAGCCTCTCTGCAGGCCTGCAGCAAGAATCCCAAGCCAGACAGCAATGGGATAGAGCAGCTGGATGATGTTCTGTTGCCCCTTCTTTTTTCCTCCTTTCACCCTCCCTCCCAATCCCTCCCGACACCTCACTACCCCTCTGTGCGCCTGTGCGTGCAGCAAGAAGCCCAAGCCAGACAACGACGGGATAGAGCAGCTGAATGACGTCACAGCAGTCAGCGGGGTGAACCTGAGGGTGAGTTCTCGCTCCTTTCTTCAGGCACCTCTAATCTAAGTGACTTTTGAGTCGACTCTAAGGTCACCTTGGGATAGAGCAGCTTAATGACGTCACAGCAGTCAGCGGGGTGAACCTGAGGGTGAGTGATGTGATCGCGCCCTTCTTGACGCGCCTCTATGTGAGGATGGTTGTGGTTGGCTTTATGGGCTGCTCTAAGGTGGGAATAGAGCAGCTGAATGACGTCACAGCGGTCAGCGGGGTGAACCTCAGAGTGAGTTCTCGTTGTTATGCCCCGCTGCAAGCTTCTTGTTCCTTGGTCACCTCTGTTCTTTCATGCGGCTCGAGGGTGGGTGTTTGTATCCTTTTTCTGGTACCACTCACACTTCAGATCTATGCACCGTCCTCACCCTCGCTCGCCGCTGCCGGCCATTCCTTGATAATTATCTAGACAGTGAAATTGTGGGGGGATAAAGAAATCACCCCTTCCCACTGTTTGTTTATATTTTTTCACATCGCAGGAGGAGGAGGAGCAGCTGTTAGCTATGGCAGTGGTGGGGGATGCGCAGCGGCGGAATTGATGAGGCACATGCACTGAAACAGCCTCACTTTTCCTTTCCACGCTCACTCCCCTTATTTTCCACAGGAGGAGGAGGAGCAGCTGCTGGCGATGGCAGTGGCGGGGGACGCGCAGCAGAAGGTGCAGGGGGAGGCATGGAGGCGCATGGCGAAGGAGGAGGAGCAGAGGCTGCTGATGGATCGACCGCTGCTGCGAGCTGTGGTGGGGCGGATAGGTGCGTGGTTGTAGCCTGGTTGGGAGGATAGGCGAGGCTCTATGAGGGAGGGAGCCTTTATAGGCTCTGTTAGTGAGGGAGGAGGAGCAGCGGCTGCTGATGGATCGACCGCTGCTGCGTGCCGTGGTGGGGCGGATGGGTGAGAGGGCATGGTGGGGTTGGGAGAATAGGTGAGTGTACCACTGGGGTTGGGTAGGTGAGGGGCTATGAGGTGGGGTCTAGAGTGGGAGCCTCTCTAGACGCCTATTTTTGCGACACCTCAAAAATAGTCATGCAGAGCAGCAGCAGAAGGTGCAGGGGGAGGCATGGCGGCGCATGGCGAGGGAGGAGGAGCAGCGGCTGCTGATGGACCGACCGCTGCTGCGAGCTGTGGTGGGGCGCATAGGTGAGTGGCTGTGGTGCGGTTAGGAGGATAGGTGAGTGGGTGTGGTAATTGGACTGCTAGGGCTGCTTGGGAGGCGGAGCAGCGGCTGCTGATGGACCGACCGTTGCTGCGCGACTGTGGTGGGCCGGATAGGTGCATGGGTGTGGTGCGGCTGGGAAGATAGTTGATAGCTCATATGAAAGAAGGATGCTGGTAGCTCTGTTGCTTGGAAAGGACAGAAGAGAAGAGGGAAAGTTGCTCTAATCGAGGGAGTTTTAGGAAAAAACAATCTAAGCCGTCTGTAAATATCGGATGCTCCTCCTTTCTGATATATTGTTCAAATCTGCGATAATCCTGGGGGTTCGCTGCAAAGGTCCTTCCCACGTGGAGAGTCGTCAACTCAGAGCATGACGTTTCACGCTTGCATTTGCCGTCTCACTTGACCTTTCGTACCCTCACTCCTCTTCTCTCCCCAACTCCCCTCCCCTCCCTAACTCCCCTCCCCCCCGCTCTACCTCCCACTCGCCTTCCTTCAGCTTCCAAGGCCGGGCTTCGCACCGTCAGTGACGCAGTTTATGTGCCCCTTAAATATTGCCGTCGTCTCTTGACCTTTCCCCCCTCTCCCTCCCCTTCTCTCCCTGCCCCTCCCACCTCCCCACTTCCCACTCGCCTTCCTTCAGCTTCCAAGGCTGGGCTTCGCACTGTCAGTGACGCAGTTTATGTGTGCCTCTCAAGGGTGAGTAGTATATGTGCCTAATACTGAAACTTGCCTATAAGATGGCCGATCTCTGAGTCGACTCAAAAATAAGGGTGAGTAGTATATGTGCCTAATACTGAAACTTGCCTATTTTTGAGTCGACTCAAAAACACTTTATGTGTGCCTCTCAAGGGTGAGTAGTATATGTGCCTAATACTGAAACTTGCCTATAAGATGGCCGAAGTGGGTGTCAGGAATGGGGTGGATCTAGTAGACTTTGTATATCGATGAGCTTTCAGTGCAAATGAGAATCTACACCGTGTTATCTCGCTCGCTTCTCTCCACTGTGCATCGTGTCTCACCGCTGGTTCTCCAGGAGAGAATGCACGCACTGAGGCACCAGCTTCCCAACTTTCTTGCCCCTGCTCTCTCCCCAGTCCGTCACCTGCCTCTCCCCTCTCACCCCAGACCCTGCAGGAGCAAATGCATACACAGGCTGTGCACCAGCTTCTAAACTCTCGTGCCCCTGCTCTCTGCTAGTGATTCGCTTGCTTCTATCCTCCCCTCTCTGTGTCGTGTCTCACTAACACAGGCTCTGGAGGAGCGAATGCACTCGCTGCTCGCAGCACTCTCAAGACTATCAGCTCACGTGAGTGTCTCTTTCCCTTGAAATGCTTTTCGAGGCAACTTTTGAGTTGTCTCAATAGTCGACTCAAGGTCACAACACAGGCTCTGGAGGAGCGAATGCACTCGCTGCTGGCTGCACTCTCAAGACTATCAGCTCACGTGAGTGTCTCTTTCCCTTGAAATGCTTTTCGAGGCAACTTTTGAGTTGTCTCAATAGTCGACTCAAGGTCACAACACAGGCTCTGGAGGAGCGAATGCACTCGCTGCTGGCTGCACTCTCAAGACTATCAGCTCACGTGAGTGTCTCATTTCCTTGAAATGCTTTTCGAGGCGGCTTTTGAGTTGTCTCAATAGTCGACTCAAGGTCACAACACAGGCTCTGGAGGAGCGAATGCACTCGCTGCTCGCAGCACTCTCAACACTATCAGCTCATGTGAGTGCTTCATTCCCTTGAATTGCTTTTGGGGGCAACGTGTGAGTCGTCTCAATAGTCGACTCAGTCTCACTTTCACAGGCTCTGGAGGAGCGAATGCACGCGCTGCTGGCAGCACTCTCAAGATTATCAGCCCATGTGAGTGTCACTTTCCCTTAAAACGTTCTCTGTTTTGAGGCGTCTCAAACGGCTCATGTGAGTGTCTCCTTCCCTTGAAGTGTTCTCTGTTCCTGTTCCTTCTGTGCACAGCCAGTCTACACTGCTGTTCTCTGGTTCGTTCTCTTGCGTCCACCTTCCCATTTTCCCTCCCCCAGTTGGAAACACCTCCGTCCGCCGGCTTCCATTCCACCCAAAGACGCCTCCTCGTTCCAAAACCAAAGTGCACAACACCTCCGTCCGCCGGCTTCCATTCCACCCAAAGACGCCTCCTCGTTCCAAAACCAAAGTGCATTATCCAGTCGGCAACAATCGTTGCGCTTACCATCTGGTCGTATCCCACAACTCAACAGATGATTTTTTAGGCGCCTTTTGAGGCGATTTTTGAGGCGCCTCAAAAATCTTATCCAGTCGGCAACAATCGTTGCACTTACGATCTGGTCGTCAACAGATTCTGAACCAATCACCCCAGTTCCCCTTACACCACCCCTTTCTCCTCCTCCCTCTCCCTTCCATTTCTTCCCACTCCCCTTGCCCCACCATAGAGGCTTGACCAGCATCGGCACCAGCTGTTGCAGCGGCCGCAACAGCAACAACAACAAGAGCCACCACAGGAGGAGCGAATACAGCAGCAACAGCAACAGCAGCAGCAACAGCACGTTCCAGTGATGCAAGTGACGTCGAATCCGCTGCAGCAGCTGCGGCTGATGCAGAGGGCAGAGAGGGAGGCGGAGGAGAGGCGAGCAGCGGAGGAGAGAGAGAGGCTCAGAAGACTGGGAGAGGTGAGTGCTGGAAGGAGGTGGGTGCTGAGGTGAAAAATGCGGTTTTGAGGCACCTTGTAAGTTGTTGTTTTTCCTTTTGTCCACGGCCACTTTTGCGGCGCCTCGTAGCTCGTATACATTTTTCCTGCACGATCCATCCACATATTTTTGTCCCGCTCCTTTTTGCTCGTCCTTTGAGACGTCTCAAAAGGCTTCTCATAGCTCGTATACGTTTTTTTCTGCATGGTCCATTTACGCATTTTTGTCCCGTTCCTTTTGCTCGTCCTCCCCCCTCTGTTCTGTGGTGTGTTCAGAAGGAGAGCAAGGAGAAGGAGAAAGCAAACATGACAGAGAAAGAGAAGGAGGAGCACCGGATCAAGGCGCAAAAGGTGGGTGCTTGTGTAACGCATAGTCACTGTGTAGCGCACTGTGGCTGTGCGTAAACAGTAAAATGACAGCCCAAAAGGTGGGTCAGAAGGAGGGCAAACATTTCGGACGGGCGCCGAATGAAGACGCAAAGCGCCAAAGGTAGGTGTTGTGGCACTGATTCTTTCCTGTGTACCTTCAAGCTAGTGCCCATTGAACCCGTATACTTTTTTTCCGTGTACGCTGTATCCTGTATCCTGTACCCTCTGTGGCAGGCGAAGGAGATGGAGGAGGAGAAGGAGAAGACTACACGGGCCAACGAGGCGGCGAGGGTGGCGGTGGGAGTTGACACACACTTTTCTAAGTGGTTCCTCTGCCCTGTGCCCTGTGCCCCCTTGCGCCTACCTTGTGTTCCCGTGCCCAGGCAAAGGAGATGGAGGAGGAGAAGGAGAAGGCAACACGGGCGAATGAAGCTGCAAGGGTGGCAGTGGGAGTAGACCCGCGCTTTGCTAAGTGGTTCCGTGATGCTCAGCTAAAAAAGATGCAAGCAGCAGCAGGAGGAGGAGCGGCAGCAGGAGGAGCATCGGGAGGAGGAGGAGCAGGAGCAGGAGGAGCGGGAGTTGGGGGGGCTGGGTCCGGCAAGGATGGGGCAGGTGCAGGCCCGGGATCAGGTGCAGGCTCGGGTACAGGTTCGGAAGGGTTGGCTTCTGGGAGTTCCGCGGCTGCGGGCCAATCAGGAGCTGCCACGTCAGCAGCAGGAGGGGCGGCATCAGGGGTAGGTGGGGCTGCTGGGGGGGTTGGCGGCAGGGAGGGAGGGTTATCTGGTGCAGGTACACCTGATGGCAAGCTCGGCGGTGCCAGGCCTGGAGGCTTGGCAGCCGGAGCTGCAGGTTCGGCAGGAGTAGGGACAGCAGGGGTCGCTGGGGCGGGAGGGGCGGGAGGTTTGGCGAAGCAGCAGGGGCCTAGGACTGTGATATTAAAGGATGTGATTGCAGCGTTGGAGAGGGAACCTCAAATGGCCAAGTCTGTTTTAATGTTCAGGGTGTATGAGAGAGAAGGGAGGGCCAAGGAGGGGAGGGAGAGAGAAGGGAAGGGCAGAGAAGCAGCGGTGGCGAGAGGAGGAATGAAGGGAAGTGCAGCTGGTGCTACAGTGGGAGCAGCAGCAAAGAAAGCAGGAACAGCAGTAGGAGTAGGATCAGGAGCAGGAGCAAAAGCAGGAGGACCAGGAGGGGGAGGAGGGGCGGGAGGAGGCGGAGGAGGGGGTAAAGGAACTGCAGCAGCAGCAGGGGGCGGTCAGGGAGGGGTAGCGGGAGTGGGGGGGATGAAAGTCGTGGCAGCAGGAGCAGGGGGAATCAAGGGGGCAGGAGCGGGAGGGGTGGGGTCTAAAGCAGTAGGAGCAGGAGGGGGAGGGGTGGGGGTGGGTAGAGGGGGAGGGATAGTGGGAGGGATGGGGGGGAAATCGCCAGCAGGAGTGAAAGCAAGCCCTGGTGGAGCTGTAGCGGCCAAGGGGATGGGGAATGGCGCACATACCCCCATAATAAGGAAGTAATCTCGCTAGAAAAAAAGCTTGATGTTGCATCGAAAAAAGAAGAAGGAAAAAACTAGTTTTGGACGTTGGAGAAAGGGGTTCAGCCTTCCAGGTATTCTACTCACTAATGAGAATTCTCGAATGGTATTCTTGGTGAGTTGGTAATGGAACCAGGATGATCCTCCTGTTGTCCTTTATTGGTCTCTATTGGTATGTCTAGGTGGAATGCGGTGATAAACGATACGATGGCTCAAAACTATGAACTTAAGGTACCCTGGATTGAAGAAGCAGCTGGTTTAGCCCTTCTATGTTACCACGGTTTGCCCACGGTACGAGGCAAGCGAGGTGGTTTTTATTGGATGGATAAACAGACCCAGGCTGGACCCAGCTTGAAATGCCAGATTCAAAGCTTCAATAAAATTGTTCACTGTACTAGCCCCAGGAGCAAAAACGCGAATAATAATGAATGTTTGAATCACCAGCGGGTGTTCAGTGAGGTGCTTTGGTTTGGCAATTTGGAAGTTGTATAGCGAGTCCCGCAACAGGAGCTGTTTTGTAGCGCGTTCGTATCAGGTTCCAAAACCATCACTGAACAAGATTCGACGTGAACGTCGGAAGGGTTGCGTAGTTACGTACGCTTTTAGTTTTCATATTCTGACGAGATACATGTAATACGTAGTATTTATTCCAATGGATACACCCAATTACTTCCTACTTATCAATACAAAATTACTGTTTGCTAGTATTATGGGATCAAGTTCTGTTAATTTTCTTGTTTGTTTTTTCCGAATTAGCAATATGTAACGATTCAGAAACAATGTATATTATTCCAGCACTGATGCTTGTAAGTAACTTATCATGTATTGCTGAATCAGGTTCTTACAATGAGCTGTTTTGAAGTTGACTCAAATGCTTGGATGGATATGTGACGTCATTACACCCTATTCTCGATAATTTCACACCCCTTAAGCGCACACCCTGGGGTAAATACTCTCGGTTAAACGTTTAAGTAGGGTAGCAAGCAACGATTGTAGACTATCGGAGGAGGGGGTCTCGCAACCTTCTCGTGTTCCAAGGGCAGCCATCGACCCCTACTTCTCACTCGGAAAATTAAGTGCTAGACTCGATAACTGCCCTCGTCAATCTTTGGGTGTCCGTCACATCGAGCCAGAAAACGTACAGGGTACCTTCGAAATAGGGGGTAGGGAGTATGCGTCTATTTCACGTGACACTAGCTTCCAAATCTAGATGCATGATTTTTGTTTTTTTTACCCGGTGCCCAAATTTTGACTGGTTTGCAATTAGACCCCTAGTGTTTGTTTTAGACTCAATATAGAAAATTTTCATGCCTCTTTTACCGATGACTTTTTTGGCAGTTGCCCCAACTTCCAGGTTTTGTTCGGCTCCAAGCAGCTTCAATTTGTTGCACCTTGTTGCAACAAACCCCAACCTTCACCTCCCTCCTTGCCTCTCACAACCACCACCCATCTAGCCAACCACCACGATATCCTGTTTGTTTTCTCGCCATCGCCTCTCCCTCTCACACCGCCGTTGCCTCCTTCTGCCACCCCACCTTCTCCCTCCTTTCCCGCCATCGCCTCCCTCATAGCCTGCTGTCGTATCCCTCTTAGCCTGCCGTCGCCCCCCCCCCCCCCCCCTCCCATCCCACCGTCGCCTCCCCCGCTCATCCCGCCGTCGCCGCTGACAGTAGCTGCAGGAGCGCGAGCTGGTGGGCGAGCGCGAATCGACCTCTGAGGCACCATGATTCTCAGGTGCGTTGTCCTTTCCCGGTCCATTTCTCCTCCTCCTCTCTGAAAAAATAATTTACTTTCGTACATTCTCAAGTTCTCTGCCTGTCGAGATCTCCTTTTGCATTGCAATACCATTTGAAGAGAGGGACAGAGGGAGAGCGAGTGAGAGAGTTTGCACGGGAACTAGCACGCTGGCGCGTATAGCGTTGGCGCCTAACTCGCTGGCGCTTAGCGCTGGCGCCCAACGCGCTGGCGCTTAGCGCACTGGCTGTTTGCGCGCTGGCGCCTTGCGCGCTGGCGCCGTGCGCGCTGGCGCCTTGCGCGCTGGCGCCTTGCGCGCTGGCGCCTTGCGTGCTGGCGCCGTGCGCGTTGGCGCCGTGCGCGCTGGCGCCGTGCGGGCTGGCGCCTTGCGCGCTGGCGCCTAACGCGCTGGCGCCTAATGCGCTGGCGCCTTGCGCGCTGGCGTCTATGCGCGCTGGCGCCGTGCGCGCTGGCGCCGTGCGCGCTGGCGCCGTGCGGGCTGGCGCCTTGCGCGCTGACGCCTAACGCGCTGGCGCCTAGCGCGCTGGCGCCTAGCGCGCTGGCGCCTACCGCGCTGGCGCCTTGCGCGCTGGCGCCTAACGTGCTGGCGCCTAGCGCGCTGGCGCCTTGCGCGCTGGCGCCTTGCGCGCTGACGCCTAGTGCGCTGGTGCCTTGCGCCTTGGCGCCTTACGCGCTGGCGATTAGCGCTCTGGCGCCAGGAGGCCGCGTGAGAGGCCATGTGAGAGAGCGCGTGAAAGTGCGCGTGTTAGTGCGCGTGAGAGTGCGCACGTGAGAGAGCGCGTGAGGGAGAGCGTGAGAGTGCGCGTGAGAGTTCGCGTGAGAGTGCGCGCGTGAGAGAGCGCGTGAGGGAGAGCGTGAGAGTGCGCGTGAGAGTTCGCGTGAGAGTGCGCGCGTGAGGGAGAGCGTGAGAGTGCGCGTGAGAGTTCGCGTGAGAGTGCGCGCGTGAGAGAGCGCGTGAGGGAGAGCGTGAGAGTGCGCGTGAGAGTTCGCGTGAGAGTGCGCGCGTGAGAGAGCGCGTGAGGGAGAGCGTGAGAGTGCCCGTGAGAGTTCGCGTGAGGGTGCGCTCGTGATAGAGCGCGTGAGGGAGAGCGTGAGAGTGCGCGCGTGAGAGAGCGCGTGAGGGAGAGCGTGAGAGTTCGCGTGAGAGTGCGCTCGTGATAGAGCGCGTGAGAGTGCGTGAGAGCGCGTGTGAGAGCGCGCGTGAGGGAGCGTGTGAGAGTGCGCGTGAGGGAGCGTGTGAGAGTGCGCGTGAGAGAGCGCGTGAGAGTGCGCGGGAGAGTGCGCGCGTGAGAGTGCACGTGAGAGAGCGCGTGAGTGTGCGCGTGAGAGCGCGCGTGAGCGAGCGCGTGAGGGAGCGCGTGAGAGTGCGCGAGAGAGTGCGCGTGAGAGTGCGTGTGAGAGAGTGTGTAAGAGTGCGCGCGTGAGATAGTGTGTGAGAGAGCGCGTGAGAGTGCGCGTGAGAGTGCCCGTGAGAGAGCGCGTGACAGTGCGTGTGCGCGTGAGAGTGCGCGTGAGAGGCCGCGTGAGAGGGTAGGTGAGGAAGCGCGTGAGAGAGCGCGTGAGAGGGCGCGTGAGAGTGCGCGTGAGTGAGCGCGTGAGAGTGCGCGTGAGTGAGCGCGTGATAGAGCGCGCGAGTGACGCATGAGGGAGCGAGTGAGAGAGGGCGTGAGAGTGCGCGTGAGAGTGCGCGTGGGAGTGCCCGCGAGAGTGCGCGTGAGAGTGCGCGTGAGAGAGCGCGTGAGGGAGCGCGTGAGAGAGCGCGTGAGAGTGCGCGTGAAAGTGCGCGTGAGAGTGTGCGAGAGAGTGCGTGTGAGAGAGCGCGTGAGAGAGCGTGTAGGTTTGTGTGTTTCTGAGAGAGTGTCTAAGAAAGTTGAGAGTCTTTGTGTGTCTGTGTGTGAGTGGGTGCAAGATTGAGTGAGTGCGAGCGTGATTGTGAAGTTGAACGTGAGGGTGGCTGCAATGTATTGCATCATGTTGGCGTAGTACTGTGGTGCCACACCATTTTACCTCTGTGAGTTGTCAAACTTTCCACTGCTTGTCAAGTTTCCTGCTTGGCCTCCTCGAAGCATTATGCGTTTTATTGATTTGTTTGTACAGTGTGTGAACATTCTTTGTTTTTGCCTTTTTCTTGTGCAGGGCGCGTGCTTTGCATTATCTGTTTTTGCTCTGTGCAGGGCGCGTGAGCTGCATTCGTTGATTTTGTTTGGCAGAGAAGGGAGATGAAGGAGGGGGTGGGAGGGAGATGAGGGAGGGAGGGATGGAGGGAGGGAGGGAGGGAGGGAGGTAGGGAGGGAGGGAGGGAGGGAGGGGGGGAGGCAGGGGTGTAGGGAGGGTAAGGGGTGATTGGCTAGTGATTATTTATTAATAGCTGAATTTCATGATGGTTGGGTGTTGACTATCCGTATGTATCTGTGCTTGTTTGCGTGCGTGTCAGTGTGTATGTGAGTGTGTGAGCCTGTGTGAGATATGTATGTGCAGTCTTGTTGTTTGTATCGTTTTGTGTCTGTCTCAAGGCGTGTGCTGAAGTGCCTCGTGTATGCAACTCAGGTTGTGATCGCCGATGGGGCAATAGCCCTAGCGTGCCAGACCAACCTTTGTTGCATCATCGATGCATTCTAGCATTCTCCCCAAGACACTCATTATTGTTATGCGTTGTCGTCGTTGTACCAGTACAATGTCGCATGTGCTTGTTCGTGTTTGTTGTAAGGTGTCATGTTAAAGTGTGTCAGGTCTGCAATTGAGGTGGGGATCGTTGTTGGGGCAGCGTTGCTCGCCTTAGCATACCGGATCCATCGCTATTGTAGCACTGATGCATTTTGCCATTCACTTTATGACATTTGCTGTTGTTGAGTGTTGTCGTTTTTGCACATGTTCGATACGGTAGATGCAAATACGGTACCGCAATTTGCATCCACGTCGAATTTGTTGTATCGTCAATTGTGTGATGTACCGTAAAATATGGAGAGGCTACCAATTGTTTCCATTCGCCGTATTTATCGACGATTATGGAATAATTGGTCTCATTTGGTTTCACCTTTTTTGGGAGACTCTTGTGTAGCAGTGTTGTCATCTCCACACATTTGAAGCACACGTTCTCAAAACGTTAAAGCGAGTGCTTCAGACGTTGGGAAAATGACAAAAATGTGCACTGTTCATTCGAGTCGACCGAAAAAGGTGCTACCAAATGTAAAGGGGTTGCTACGCAACCCAAAAAGCGCATCCTGCAATCCTGCGAAAAGTTCATGATGGTGTAACCTGGTTACCAAGGTTTATGCAAAGCGACTCGCAGCAGTTTTATCGCGCTCCTTCCGTGCGTGTCGCCGGGAAATCGTCATTTAGGAAAGCCGAACCATCACTACCGTCCATAGCGGTCTCCAATGGCGGATGCAGGTGGCGCAAGTGGCGCAGGTGGCGCAGCTGATGCAGGCGGAAGAGCTCCCGGGAGGGGGCGAGGGCGGGGGCGGGGGCGCGGAAGGGGGAGGGCGCGCGGAGCCTCGGCGGAAGGGGCAGCGCAAGCGGGGAGAGGCGCGGAAGCGGGGATAGGCGGAGGGACTCCGCGATTGGGCAGCGTATCAGATCCGATCGGACGGTTGCAAACAACAGGAGTGGCGCTGGCGCAAGGGTTGAGGGTTTCGGGTTTGGGCGGAGCCAGTGGCGCAGTGTCCGCTTCCCCTTCCGCCAGACCCGCGCCCTCCGCTTCCGCCCCTAAAGCTGAGGCTGGGGATGGCGGCTCGGTTGCTGCAGAAGCGACAGGCTCGGGAGCAACAGGTTCGGGAGCAGCAGGCTCGGCAGCAGCAGCAGGAGCGGGGGACAGTACCGCAGGAGTTCGCAAGGTACGAAGCAGCTTCACTGCTTGGTGTGTAGCAAAAACGGGGATACATGTAGTTTGTTTGGCTTGTGAAGACACGGCCTGATGTTTTCCTTATCTCTCTCTACCCCACTAGACCTCTCTCTATCCCACTCTACCCCTCTCTTTCCGTTTCTTTATCCCTGCTGTCCCTTTTTCTCCCTCTTTATCCCTCTCTATCCCTCTCTATCCCTCTCTGTGTCTCTCTATCCCTTTGAACACATCTGATCTGATTGCACGTGCAGCCGAAGTTTGTGCCCAAGGTACCGGCCAGCTTCTCTATCCCTGAAATCCTTCTGCATCCCTTTCGATCCCTTTGCACACATCTCTGGTTGTGTTTCCAGCCGAAGTTTGTGCCCAAGGTGCCGGCCAGACGAGCCCAGAAGAAAGCAGTCAAGCCGTGAGTGCTGCAGCCATGTGCCATGGGCCATGTGCCATGCCATTCTGTGTGCCATGGGCCATATGCCATGCCATGCCATGCCATACCATACCATATCATTCCATGCCATGCCAGACCATGCCATGCCTTGCCATGCCCATACAATGCCATATCATGCGCCATGCTGTATAATGCCGTGTGCGTGATCAAGTTTACAGATGTTTGTAGCCTGTATGACTTTAAATGGTCATAGAAGTTTGTTTTTGAGATGTCTCAAAAATAACCTCATTGCACGTGACATCAAGTTTACAGATGTTTGTAGCCTATATGACTCTAAATGGTCATAGAAGTTTGTGTGTATCCGTCTAGTGCAGTGATAGATACTAACCCCACACACTCCCCACACACACTCCCCACACACACTCCCCGCACACACAGGGAGGAAGCAGCAGAGCAGGAGCTACCAGAGGAGCTACTCTGTGCTTCTGGCGTCTCAATCATTGTCGTTCTGTCGTACATACGCCCTACTCCCCTTGTGCACACAGGGAGGAAGCAGCAGAGCAGGAGCTACCAGACGAGCTGCGGAAGATTCTCCTAGTAAGTCCCCCTTCCTCGGGCCCTTCCTTTCCAATCTACCTTGCCAATCCAAACCGCCAAACCTCCCCACCAACCCTCGCCGCCAAACCTCCCCTCTAATTTTCCTCCTCCCCTCTAATTTTCCTTCCTCCCACATAATCCAAGTTTTTTGCATTGCAGAAGTTTCTTTGTCGTGCTGCTTTTGTGTGCACACTCTCACTCGCCCACACTCACTCTCCCTCACTCACTCTCCCTCGTTCCCCCTCTCTTCCTTTTACTCTCCATCTCTCTCCTTCGCTCTCCCTCCTCTCGACCCCACCATTCCAGCAATCGCAAGCCGATGCATCAAATGCACCCAAACGAGCCTTCCAAGGTGCGAGTGTGCACATATGCGCATGTGTGACTGGGACACGCCTTTATGTCGGCATGTGCGATGACTATGCAGTTGTGATGCGTTGTGTTGTGTGCACGCGTGCCAATGCAACCCAAGGCATCCAATCCAACACACCCATACGAGCCTTTTCAGGCGCGGTTGTGTGAAATTGATTTAAAAACATGTATTGACTATTTTTTACACGCCTCAAAAGCCCACACGAGCCTTTTCAGGCGTGGCATTTTTTTTCTCAAAAACATGTATTTAACGTGAATTCATTGATGAAATGCAAGCTGATATCGTTTTTAGCGTTTTTTTAACATGTATTGATGTTAGCTAAGGTAACGACATGGTGACAATGCTCATGGGAAAAAGGGGCTGGTAGTGGCAAGTGGTGGTTGAGTGTCCCTTTCTCTCCCCCTCTCCTCCCTTCAGGTGCTGCCGTGCGGGTTGCCTTTGGCTTTGGTGCATCATCAGCAGCAGCGGGGATGGGGATGGCGCATCAGCAGCATTAGCAACACGTATTCTTCTCGCTTTCCTCCCTTCCCCCCCTCGCCTCCCCCTCTCCTCCCTTCAGGTGCTGCCGTGCGCGTTGCCTTTGGCTTTGGCGCATCATCAGCAGCAGCAGGGATGGGTGTGGGCCTTCCCTTTATGGGCAAAGGGGGCAGCAGCAGTGCAGCAGTCTCACCACATGTCTTCTTCTCCCCTTTTTCCCGCTCGGTGCATCAGCAGCAACAGCGGGGATGGGGAGTCAGGCCTCCCTTTATGGGCAAAGGGGGCAGCAGCAGTGCAGCAGTCTCACCACATGTCTTCTTCTCCCCTTTTCCCCCGCTCGGTGCATCAGCAGCAACAGCGGGGATGGGGAGTCAGGCCTCCCTTTATGGGCAAAGGGGGCAGCAGCAGTGCAGCAGTCTCACCACATGTCTTCTTCTCCCCTTTTTCCCGCTCGGTGCATCAGCAGCAACAGCGGGGATGGGGAGTCAGGTCTCCCTTTATGGGCAAAGGGGGCAGCAGCAGTGCAGCAGTCCCACCACATGTCTTCTTCTCCCCTTTTCCCCGCTCTCCCCCCTGTCAGGTGCTGCCGTGCGGGTTGCCTCTGGCTTTGGTGCATCCGCAGCAGCTGCAGGGATGGGCATGGGGCCTCCCAAAGGGGGCAGCAGCGGTTTTGGCGATGGGGGTGGTGGTTGGGGAGGAGGGGGGGGAGGGGGAGGTGGAGGAGGGGGAGGAGGGGGAGGAGGGGGAGGAGGGGGAGGAGGGGGAGGAGGAGGAGGGGGAGGGGAAGGTGGAGTGAAAGAGGAGGGAGGGGTGAGAGTGAAAGCAGAGGGGGTGACTGTGGATGGTGCAGGGATGATGGGTGATTTCTCTGCTCCTGGTGAGTGAGATGGCGTTTTCAAATGTCCCAAAACCTTGAACAGGAGGGAGGGGTGAGTGTGCAGGCAGAGGGGTGGTGCAGGGATGATGGGCGACTTTTCTGCTCCTGGTGAGATGGCTTGCAGGTTCATGTGAGGCTGGATAAACCTCGAGAGAGGAGGGAGGGGTGAGTGTGAGAGAGTAGGGAGGGGTGAGTGTGAGAGAGGAGGAGGGGTGAGTGTGAGAGAGGAGGTAGGGTGAGAGTGAAAGCAGAGAAAATGACCGTGGACGGAGCAGGGACGACACATGACTTTTCTGCTGCTCCTGGTGAGACGATTTTTGAGTTGATTCGTTTGACTAACTGCTGCCATTGCACACAGGTAAACAATTTCTGTGTAGACAAAAAAACGGCTCAATGATTTCCCCATTCCCCCCTCTGCTCCCTCTCCGTTTCCCCTGCTCCATTTCCCCACTCCTCCCATTCCCCTTCCTCCATTCCCCACCCGTCCCCCCTCCCACTCCTCTTCTTCCTTTCACTTCCGAAACAAATTGTGCCAGGTGGCTCGTTCCAATTGGACGAGAAGAAGGCAAAGAAGAGAGATACCATGGTGGGTGGGTGGAGAACGGGGTGACGTGGATTACAGAGGGAGTAATGGGATTGCAGAGGGAGTAATGGGATTGCAGAGGGAGTAATGGGATTGCAGAGGGAGTGACGTTGAGCCAGCTTCTTACACGGAGACGATGTTCCCCTTGGTGTCGCACTCGACGCCTATCCACGCGCCACAGACCACCTTCCCGTTGGTGCGCCACCACTGCATGCCCGTCACTCCCAGCGCAACGCGCATCTCTATCAGCGCCAACACTGGGGGGGTGGGGGGGGGCCGGGGGGAGGGGGAAGACTGCGGGGTGAAGAAGGGTTTGAGACGTCCCGTTGGTGCGCCACCGCTGCATGCCCGTCACCCCCAGCGCCACGCGCATCTCTATCAGCGCCAACGCGGCGGAAAAGGGGAGCGGGGCGGGGGGAAGTGGGGAGGAGAGGGGGGGTGGGGGGGAATAAGGGTATTGAGAGGTCCTAAATGCGTAACCACTGCATGCCCGTCACTCCCAGCGCCACGCGCATCTCTATCAGCGCCGCCACTGGGAGAGGGAGAGAGTAGAGAGCGGGGTGAAGAAGGGTATAAAACGTCCTAAATGCGTCACCACTGCATTCCCGTCACCCCCAGTGCCACGCGCAGCTCTATCAGCGCCGCCACTGGGGGAACCGGAAAAGGACGGGGAGAGGGATGGAGGGGGGAGGGGGAGGGCGGGTGGAAGGGGAGGGGGAGGTTGTGGGGGAAGTAGAGGGCGGCTGGGGAGGATGAAGGGATGAACTTCTGTCGATTCAAAAATCATCCCCAGCGCCACGCGCAGTTCTCTCTGCGCCATCACTAGCGGAGGGGGGTTTTTGCCCATGTCAGCGGCAAGCACGGGCGGAACCGCCGATGAGTCGACTCAAAAGTCGTACCTTGTACCAAACCTGCGCCTTACCATGGGCGCTATTTACGGCGATGTTTAACCGACATTATTAGCCGACTCGAAACTCGTACCCCAATCCGCGACTTACCATGGGCGTTATTCACGCCGATTTTTAACCGACGATTCTAGCAGACTCGGAAGTCAACTCAAACTCAATCACAATAAAGCTTCTGCTGAGCCAGAGATCATCGTGAACCGGAGACTTACCATGGGCGCTGTTCATGTCAACGGCTAGCACGGGCGGAGCGGGCGACGCGGCCAGCAGCAGCAGCAGGACCGGCAGCAGCAGCAGCGAGGAATACGGCCGGCGAAAAGACCCGGAGCAGGGCCGCCGCACGGCGCCTGCAGCTCCGTGCCGAACCGCCGAGCCTAACATGCCCGAGGCCGAGCCTATTTCTGAGCCTGAGCTCAACCCAGAGACCGAAATCGAGAAGGGTGGAGAGCATGCGCTAGTCGTGACTAGCGACTCGGATAGGCTAGGACTTCGTTGGACGACGTCGTCTCCTGCCGCCGTCGTGTCGCGCGCATAGGAACAGCACGGTTCCGAGTCGCCTCCTGAATTAACGAGTCTGCTGCAGTCGCTGTTGCTGTCGCGAACTCGTCTTTGTTCGCACCCTCTGCTGCTGGTTACCACCGACCACCTTGCGCCATCGTCAACGGTCATTTTGTACCCGAACACTAGGATGTTCTACAGCGGGATAAAGCGAAGCGGGTAACCGGGTTACAGAATATATGGCGCTGTCTATCGTGCACGGCCGCCTCGAGATTTGTGATGGTGAGCGGTAAGCCAACGAGATCGACGTGCCAAATTACAACTCTGAAAAAATGATAGTCGAACGAAAAGGATACTCTCAGAGGAGCTACTTTGACCCGTCGAGAGCTACAGAACTCTGGACTGGAGTAGAGAGTGTCTGACCCGTCCTGGTCTAGAGAGTGTCTGACCCGTATTGGTCAAAGTGATATTGACAGCGACGATGATCGCGTAAAGAGAGAGGGTCAGCTTATTAGGCCTAGTGGTACAGTCTACAGGCGCGAGAGCCGATATAGCGTCGTTGGTCTTCGTGCAGTTTACAGCAACCGCACCGCGCGGCACGCCACGGAGTCCGAGTCGGGACGGCGAGAGGAAAAGAGGGAACTTGGACGGTATTCTGGCAACTAGCAAGATTCTCGTGTGAGCTCACGATGAGATGGTTCGCGACGCGACGCTTCCTACTCGTTTTATCTCATTCTTCTCCCTCCCTGCCCTCGTCCCACGCTTGTCTTTTGCGTCACGCTGGAGCTGGCTTCCTTCCTTATCGCTTTCTGGGGATCATGAGACAATCCGAGCCGTTCCCTTTTTCCAGGTTGCAAGACCTGTGGGACATTTCCAAGCTGGTCCCGATTCCCGAACAGACGGACCGTTGATTGTCGCAAGTATTTGCCAGTTACAACCCTGCAAAAAATGTTTCGTGGAGGGTCGAACCGAACTGGTGGTGGAATGTGGTGGATGTACCTGACGGTCTGAATATTTTACGGATTGATGCCTTCGCCCGCCGCCATCCGTCTTGAAGCTGACGGAGACATCATGGGGCAACACTCTGGACGAGATTATAGACGACATCCTGGACGACGGACCGCGAGGCGAGGACTTTCACGACGGGCTAGCGGGCAGAAGAGACGGGCTATTTTTAGGCTACGGGGGTAGAGTTTACTCCAATTTGATGGGAGGTTGAAGAGGCTGAACGAGAAATCCGGGAAAGGGTACACATTTTCCTACCGCCAGGTTCTGTCGTCGCGGACTCGCGGTCTACAATATCGGGCATTTTCCTGCGGCCAATATCATTGATACTCAGATTATGCCAGGCGCGATTCGCAAACGTAATCAACCAACATTTTCTCGGTATAGTAATTACGTTTACTATTTTATCTAGTTTTAAGCACATTTCTAAAACAAAGTCGCCACCAGCACCTCAACCGCACGTACCCAACAAAACAGGAAAAACACTAACACGCGTGGATATTAACTTTAAATGAGCCGTCAAGTGTTTAGAAATATGCCTTCCACTTGGATTATCTCAATGAACAAACGACACTGTCCAGCAGAGATTGCTGCCCGCATGCAATTAAAAATAAACTCCATGCGGAAAGGCATCCATTCCGGATGGCATCAACCTTAAACATCTTGTCGCATGATATTTAAAGTTGATGCCTCCGTTACATAACATGACATTTGAAGTGGTTTTAGTTTTCTTCTGTTCTAGGTCAGCAGGTCCATGGCCGACGGACGGTTGACGGTGTCGTCGACCCCATTCCGTTGAATTATTCCCAGTCTGCATCCTTTTTCCTAATGGTTTACTTTAACACAATTTGCGCTGGATATATTTTTTATTTCTTGGGTAACACCTCAACACAATTGTTCATATTTAACTTAGGTAATCGCGTATTGTTTCTGTCACATTTCGGAGGTGTTATTAGCGTGAAAGTGTGATTGAAAAGCGAGAACCAATCAGCGATGAGAAATCGAGGTTGAGTACCAATGCAAACTTTCTCTGGCCGCATTTTCCTGCACGAGGTGGCTGAGCGGTGTGGTTTTCACGGTTTGAGATACTGTACAGTACAATGAGGCGGTGGCTTGCTGTTCAGCTCTGACCTCCACCGACTCTGTGGTGCTGTTGATCAAAAAGCGGGGGACGTGCTTCCACGCACTCGATCAGCGACAATTGCCGATCACACGGGGGCTACACTGGCGTGAGTCTCTCCCGGCGACGTTTTGCGATCAGCATATTTGAACGAACCTGGTTACCATCCGTCAGCGTTACTGTAAACGTACAGTTACACTACACCGTCACAGCCTCATGTTCCGTTTCATAAACTCAAGTCGAAATCGGGTCAGGTCCATTCACTGGCTGTGCCAGCCTCCACGGGCAGAGTTTTCTCCGCTCGACCCTCGATATGACAAGCTAAAACTGTACACAAGTTTATTTCTTTATTTCGAATGATATAAGGGAGCGAGCTTGTATCAGGGATGTGTTAGGTCCTAGAGTTGCCTGTTGCTTGTCTGCTACTTTAGCTGATCGGACTAGCGTTCTAGTTTCGCTCACAAGCGGACGGGGTTGGCGAAACGTACGAGCCGTTTCGCAGGCGACTACATCAGATGTTTCCATAACTAGTCTTCACAACACGAGGCAGCACACCACTAAGACATGGCTGCGCATCAGCTTCAGCTTCCCCCCATCGTGACTGCCAATCGCAGACTGAAGTCGACCAAACTCGCGAAACAAGCGAGCCGTACGCGAGACAGTACACGCAACCTGAAACCTTCCCATCTCTTTGGGAATGCAGACGTTAGGAATCTCAAGTCGCAATACCCGTGCCATTCTAGATTGAAGAATCCGATTCGCTCCAAAGTTTCGGTTTCTTCAGCCTCTCGGCTGCTTGCATCCTCATCTTCCAGTTTAGATAGCACGACTTGTTCACAGACCGCCACGTCATCACAGCAAGACACGTCAGCATGGCCCGAGCCGCCGGAGCTGGGTTTCGACTACCGGAAAGCCACAGCGGAAACGACATACAGCATCGTCGCCGAGCGATACCCGGAATTGATGGATCTAGTCCGACGTGGCGTGCTGGTAGTGGTGCAGCAACCAGTAGAGGACGACGAAGCAGGCGGTACTGATACTAGCAGCAGCCGCCGCTTACCTCGCGAGATCTTTATTCTCGGCACGACGCATGTGTCGGAAACGGCAGCTGAGGACGCCATGCGCGTCGTGCGGAGCGTGCAGCCTCAGAACGTGGTGGTGGAGCTGTGCAAAAGCAGGTACGCACAATAGCAGGTTCACTGCACTACAATATTGAGCGTATATTGAGGCACTTTGAAGCGAGGACGCCATGCGGGGGGTGCGGAGCGTTCAACCTCAAAACGTGATGGTGGAGCTGCGCGAAAGCAGGTAAGCGCACGACCAGGTGTGTGCTGTGCACATGCATGATCGTGTATCACATTTTCAATGTAATATCCCCTTAAAATTGCTTTGAAAACTTTTAACAGCAAACTCCATGTTCTCTCTCCCGTCTGGTGCAGAACCCGATGACGTTCAATTCTGTACTGCATCTAGCCGTCCGCTCCTGTACCTTACTTTTGAGAATTCTCAAAAGTAACATCAACATAACTGTACTGCATCTTGCCGCCCGCTCCTGTAGCTTGCCACCTCACTTCTGGAAAATCACTCAAACTCCGTTCCCCTCTCGTCTGTTACAGATCCCCCATAATGTACGATCCGATTCCAGAGGGCAACCAGCCGCTAGCACCAAGCTCTGCCACCACGGGTGCTGCTGCTGCTCCCACCACCAGCGATGCTGCTGCTACGAGCAGCAGTGGTGCGGCTCCTCCTGCCCGGGATCTATTTCTTATGGGAGGGGCCAGCCTGCCTCAGACGCTCATGCGCAGCATTCAGCTTGGTTGGTACCGCTTCCTTCCTTCTTTCCTTGTCCCTCCGCGCATCTCGTTCCCTTGATTTCTTCTTATGGGAGGGGTCAGCCCGCCTCAGACGCTCATGCGCAGCATTCAGCTTGGTTGGTACTGCTTCATGCCTTGGTTGTCTTCTCCTCCTGATGCATTCCGTCCCTTCCCATCTTTCCTCCATCACCTCTCTGCCTCATGATTCCTGCGCAGCCCACCTGTCCGTTACTGACACGTCCTGCCTCATGATTTCTCCTGGGATCGTGTTTTGAGTCGACTCAAAACACGACTCATGATTCCTCCTGGGGTCTCTTCTCCTCCCCTTTCCATCCACACGCTCCGTTTCAATCCGCACTTTCCATTTCCATCCACACACTCCGTTTCAATCCGCACTTTCCATCTCCATCCACACCCTCCGTTTTCAACCATAAGTCTTCTTCTTTTCCCTGTCCCTTCTCCTTTCCCCTCTTTCCCCAACCCCCCACCCACATTCTAGGAGGCCAGTCCAGTCTGCTGCTGCGCCTGCTGCTCTCCTTCGCCTCTCCCCCAATCTCCCTGTCACAATTCCCCATTTTTTCACAGCAATCGTCCCCCTCCCTTCCCGCATCCCCTCACCCTCGTCTCAGGAGGGCAGTCCAGCCTGCTGCTGCGCCTGCTGCTCTCCTTTGTTTCTCGACAGTCTGCTCAAGCAGCAGGCGTACAACCGGGGCATGAGGTAAGAATAGGGAAGAGGGGGGTGGAAAAGGGGGAGGGGGGAAGAGGAGGGGGGAGGAGAAGAGAGTTGAATGTGAATGTAAGAGTTGGTCGTGAGCTGCTCTCCTTTGTTTTCCGTCAGCTCGACCAATCAGCAGGCGTGCAACCGGGGCATGAGGTGACTATAAGGAGGGGGGTCATGAGGAGGGGTACGTGAGGTGACTTAAAAAAAAAAGAGGCAGTAAGAAAGGATGCAAATCCGATAGGTGCATGTCAGAACAACTCTCTTTCTGTCATTCTCCCCGTCCCTTCACCCTCTCCCTCCGAAACCTGTGCAACAAGAGAGGCTGCCTTCAAAGCTACCCTACCACTCTTCTTCTCCACTGCCCTTGTCAACCCTTCCCTTCCGCTCTCCCCTTCCTTTGGCCCTCTCCCACCTAGTTCCGTGCAGCAAGGGAGGCTGCAGATGCAATCGGGGCACAGCTGGTGCTGGGAGATCGACCCATTGAGATCACTGTGAGTGGACTTTCTATTCAGTCTGGTCCATTCAGTCATCACAATTGGGCCTCCCCGTAACCGTTTGGTTAGAGGAAGGCTTGTAGGACACTGTAAATAAAAGAAAAGTAGAAAGAAAAAGTAGAAAGAAAGAAAAATAAAATCAGATTGCTTGAGAATGATGTGAGAAGCATGGCCGTTGGTCAACATGCTCTCTTCGCTTCTCCCCTTCCCCTCTCCCTAGCTGCGTCGTGCATGGAAGGCCCTCTCTCTTCTCGATCGCGCTCGCCTCGCCTCGGCCCTCCTGCAAGGCGGGCTGAAAGGTGGCTCTCTGGAGCAGAGCGAGCTGAGAGGAACATTTTCAAAACAGCTGGAACGGCGTGATTCTACTGGTCCAGAGATGGCAAATGTGAATGTGGATGGAGATGTAGTGGGGAGAGACGGTGGAGTGGAGAGAGGAGGAGTGGACGGAAAGGGAGGTGGGGTGGAGGGAGAGGAAGAGGTGGAGTTTCTATCGGCTGTTTTCCAGGAAGTTGCGCGGCAGTTTCCCACGCTCATCGGGCCGCTGGTGCATGAGAGGGATGCGGTGAGCTGGCATTTCGGCATTGCCTTTTCTATCCAGAATTGCCTCACAGGACTGCCTGTCTCACAACACCGAAGTTTTTCTTTCAGCATTGCTGCTGGCCCCTCAGCCATTCCTACGTTTGCATGTTTAAGTTGTGGAACTCAGCATCACATCCTCCCCCTCCTTCTCCCAACCCTCCCATCCTCCCCTCGCTACTCGTCCCCTCTACAGTATCTAGCATGGGCCTTAAAACGGAGCAAGGCTGTGAGAGGCTGTGACAGGGTGGTCGGCGTGGTGGGGCGAGGGCACTTGCCAGGCGTGGTGCACTATTTGTTGCAAGATAACGAGCAAAGAACACTGCGATTCAAGCAGTTAGTCGGAGCTAGTGCATCAGATGAAAAGGATTCGGGAAAAGGGGGGATGGCTGTGCGTGTGGCTAAAAGGGTGGGAATAGAGGTGGCTGTTGGGCTTGGGCTTTGGTGGGCGTTCTCATTGATTTCATGACAAAAAATCTGAAGGGTAGGTTGTGTAGTCCATTATTTACCATTATCAGTAGGTGTATGTCAGCATCGATGAAGTATTTGTCATTAACGCGCCAGCCAATATCGACTCATCGATCACAAGTCATCCCAATCCGTTCCGAATCCCCTCGATCTTGCCTTTTGATCCAAGCCGTTCCTTCCGACCACCATTGGGATCACCTAGTTCCGTTCCCGCCCCACAAATTTCCCGCCAAAAATGGCACCTTTGCGCCACAAACACTGACAGCATTCCGTTCTCCCCGTCCTTGCAACAGTACTGGTCCGTCCTGACCGATTTGTGTGAGTGTCGGAAAGTTAGCACCAATGGCGGTTCGGCTCTCATTGACAGCTCATACCACTGGTTTAATCTCCTCATCAGAACCCACCATCTCCTCGCGTGTTACCAGGAATCGCGGGCCTTTCTACCTCTCTGCCTCACCAATCCCCTCGTGCCACGTCTCTCGGTCACAAATACGGCCGTCCCGTACGCCTCGTTTAGTCGTTTCGGTAAAGGCCCTTCGCGAGGAATGCTCCAGCGAGGAGGCTTGTATCGAGGATTCTTACAAAAACGACCGTCAGAATGCATACGAGTGCCAGGTGTCAGGAAATGGTTGGACGCGACGGGAGATGATTGCTGGTACAGGCAGCGGGCTAGCGGCCGTGGCCCTCGCTATTGTCACATCGGGTGCTGTGACTGTTCCGTTCGCCAATGCAGGTATTGTCACAGTGGAGCTGGTAGTAACAATGTAGCACTGTCGCGTATAGGAACCATCAGAGCACAATGGCGGCCAGCCCTCGGTATTGTCACATTGGAGCAGGTGGTGGCAATGTAGCAGTATCACATATAGGAACCAGCATAGCACAATAGCGGCTCTAGCCCTCGGTACTTTCAAAAAAGTACGAGCGTTTTTTGGTACGTTTTTGGTACTGTCACACCTTTTTGGAGTTTAGCGGGGTTGTGGAGAGGTGAAAGGGGGAGTAGCAATAGACGGATAGATAGTCCGCTTCTCTATGCACATGTTTTCTTTTTCCGCCCCTCTCTCTTTCTCATGTGTTCTTTGTCCCTCCCAGCCACAGCCGCAGCGCCGGCACCAACAGCTGCCGGTGCTGCACTGGACACTGCTTCCTGGAAGCTTCTTGAGAGCGCCTTTGGGTTTTCCTTCCTCTACCCGTCCTCCTATATAGTCACAATCGTAAGTGCCACCTGAGTGCTAAACCTTACCAAGTACTTACTTGACTTCACTACTGTGACATCAGCACTTCCTTTCTACCACAACGCCCTCCCCCTCCCCCTCTCCTCCTCCTCCCCCTCCCCCTCCCTGGTTTGCGGTTTTCTGCCGTCCTTCTCAGAACCGCAGATGCCCCACTGACAGCAGACGGCGCACAGGCCCCTGCTACTTCGCCCACATTCACTCCCGCCCCCCCCCATCCCCCAACCCCCCTCTCTCCCGCTCCCCCTCCCGCTCTTGCATTGAGACTTCAACAGAACCGCAAGAAAGACCCAGCAGACGCTCCACTCACAGCAGACGGCGCTCAGGCCCCTGCTTCTAACCCCCACGCCCTCCCCCCTCCTCCCCCTGCTCCCCCTCTCTGCTTGTGCATCACCCGTCTCTTCAGAACCGCAAGAACGACCCAGCAGACGCCCCACTCACAGCAGACGGCGCTCAGGCCCTAGCAGTCGTGGGCAATTTCGTCACCTTCGACATGGTGGGTGTCCCTCTTCCCCTTCCCCTTCCCCTTCCCCTTCCCCTTCCTCCGCACACGCCTGCTGCTTTAACATCAGCCTCACAGCAGCACAGCAGACGGCGCTCAGGCCCTAGCTGTCGTCGGCAATCTTGTCACCTTCGACACGGTGGGTCTCCCCCCCCTCCCGCGGGTGAGAATTCTCAACAACACCCTTCTCACTCACCCACTCACTCACCCACTCACTCAACCACTCACTTACCCACTCACTCACCCACTCACTCAACCACTCACTTACCCACTCACTCACCCACTCACTTACCCACTCACTCACCCACTCACTCAACCACTCACTTACCCACTCACTCACCCACTCACTCACCCACTCACTCACCCACTCACTCACCCACTCACTCAACCACTCACTTACCCACTCACTCACCCACGCACCACCACTAACCACTTATCTCGAGGCGCATTTTGTGTCGATCACACATCAGTTCCTTTATTCTTCACCGTTGTTCAACGTTCTTCATCTGATACTCGATCAGTTCCTTTATTCTTCACGGTTTTTCCCTCGCTCCCCCGAGTATCAGATGAGCGTCAATCGCTATGCCTTCACCCATGCCATGTCGATACTTTGACTCAACGTCTGTTCCTCTCTCATCGCCTGTCTTCCTCCTCTGTACCTCTCTCCGTTCTTCCCCCTCTCCCCCCCACACATCAGATGAGCGTCATTCGCTATGCCTTCAACCCAAACCCCGACAAGCTCGCTCCTCTTATCCAACGCATCCTGCCCAACGGGGTGAGTGAGTCTCATCCTCCTTCTCACTCCTCCTCTCCCTCCTCACTCCTCCAACCCAACCCCCTGCTCTCTCGACAAGCTCGCTCCTCTTATCCAACGCATCCTTCCCAAATGGGGTGAGTCTTGAGTGTCATTCCCTAGTATGGTGCCCCCCTCTCTCCATCTCCTCTTTCTCTTTCTCTCTTGCTCGTACAGTACCCCCCCTTCGCATGATCACAGGCCATGTTCCTGCATTATGTGAATACCCACTCCCATGGTCATTCAGAATCTTGGTATAACCCAGTGGAGCACTCCCATGGTGGAGGATACAGTGTTCCCCACTCCATGCCCCCACTCCATGCCCCCACTCCATGCCCCCACTCCATGCCCCCACTCCATGCCCCCACTCCATGCCCCCACTCCTCTGTCTCCCTCTGCCCCCACTCCTCTTTTCTTCCTTCCTTCCTTCCTTCCTCCCACGGCCATTCAGAATCTGAGCACCTCATTGGTGGAGGACACGGTGTTTCCCAGCCATCCAATCATAGAGCTTCCTCTGAATCTCCAAAAGATTCTCTCCGCCCTGGCATCACCTGCTGGACTCAGTTTTGAGTAAGTACAATGTGGCCGTTTCTGCTGGCATCCTCTCAGCTCATTCTTCTTCTTCCAATGTGGCCGTTTCAAGTGTATTATCTTATGAAGAGAGCTTGTTATGTTATCTTAAAGAGGGAGCTTTAAATCTTGAAAATTGTGTTTTATCATTTTATTAAAAGAGTGTATGAGATTTCCCCCCTCCTCCTCCTCCTCCTCCTCCTCCTCCTCCTCCTCCTCGTCTTCTTTTACTCGCCTCTGCAGTGTCGTATGGAAAGGTTTCCTTAAGTGCCTCAAAATCAGCTCGGTCCCTTTTGAGGCGACTCATCAGAGGTTTTCTTAGGTGCCTCAATGCTGACTTGTTCCCTTTCACCCATCCGCTGCACTGCTGCAGTGTGATAACGGAGACTTGCAGAGGCAGGATAGAGGAGGGGAAGGGGGGAGTGCATGTTTGATCAAGGTCATTAAGTCAACACCTTCCTCCTTCCTCTCCTTTTCACCCATCACTGCAGTGTGATAACGGAGACGTGCAGAGGTAGAATAGAGGAGGGGAAGGGGGGCGTGGGTGAGGTGTGTGTCGCTACGAGGGGCCGACCTCGTTCAATCTTTAATGTACTTTTGTCTGCTCCCTTTCACCCCTCGGTTCAGTGTGATAACGGAGACATGTCGAGGCAGGATAGAGGAGGGGAAGGGGGGTGTGGGCGAGTGTGTGTCGGTACGAGGAGCCGACCTCGTTCAGCCAATTGTGCGCCGCCACATAGGCCGGATACTGCTGTCAGAAGGTACGCTACACAATCATTTCCCTCATAAGTGTCTCACACATGTGCAACTAGACCACTTGCCCCATCGAACCAATGTCAACGTTAGGTCTCAAATGCTTGGACTTTTCCTTTTGCCTGGACGCGCCAAAGCCCGTCATTACGACATTGAGCGCATGATGGTAGCATGGTGAGTCAGCACAGGTCTGAGTTGTCCCTGCTTTGTGTAGAAAGTGAAGTTTTGAGACGTCTCAAAACTACACTTTCTACACATGATGGTAGCATGGTGAGTCAGCACAGGTCCGAGTAAGTCCTTGCTTTCCTCCACCTTCTTTCACCCCTACGCACCCTTCTTCACCCCACGTCTTCCCCACGTCTCCCCTCCAGGCCACCTCTCTACGTCATCATCACTGCATCGTGCACCGAGGCTTGATGATCAATGAAGGGCACACATCTGCAATGCATTCAGCTCCTCACCCTCCACCCCGCCCCCTACTACTTCCCCCCCTCCTCCCCCACTCCAGGCTACCTCTATGTAATCACTGCATCGTGCACAGAGGCACGGTGGACAAGAATGAAGGCACAGCTGCAATGAATTCAACCCTTCTTCCCTCCCCACCCCACACTCCTCCCTTACTCCTCTCTTTCCAGGCTACCTCTATGTCATCACTGCATCGTGCACCGAGGCACGGCGGACTAGAATGAACTCACAGCTGCAATACATTCAGCTCTTCCTCCGTCACCCCACCACCCCCTCCTACACATTTTCCCCTCTCCTCCCCTCCAGGCTACCTCTATGTCATCACAGCGTCGTGCACCGAGGCTCGGTGGCGAGTAATGAATGCACAGCTGCAATGAATTCAGCTCGTCTTTCCCCCCACCCCACACTTCTCCCACTTCCCCCCTTCCTCCAGGCTACCTCTATGTCATCACAGCGTCGTGCACCGAGGCTCGGTGGCCAGTAATGAATGCACAGCTGCAATGAATTCAGCTCGTCTTTCCCCCCACCCCACACTCCTCCCACTTCCCCCCTTCCTCCAGGCTACCTCTATGTCATCACAGCGTCGTGCACCGAGGCTCGGTGGCCAGTAATGAATGCACAGCTGCAATGAATTCAGCTCGTCTTTCCCCCCACCCCACACTTCTCCCACTTCCCCCCTTCCTCCAGGCTACCTCTATGTCATCACAGCGTCGTGCACCGAGGCTCGGTGGCCAGTAATGAATGCACAGCTGCAATGAATTCAGCTCGTCTTTCCCCCCACCCCACACTTCTCCCACTTCCCCCCTTCCTCCAGGCTACCTCTATGTCATCACAGCGTCGTGCACCGAGGCTCGGTGGCCGATAATGAACTCACAGCTGCTAGCAGCTCTCCAATCATTTGCTTTTCTCTGAACAAACACTGCCGCAGCCTAATCTAGTGTATCCTTGTCTGGGGTTTCATTTACGGTGATGGCTACCGTACATACAGTAGGTACCTAGGCCAGTGATATACGCTGGAATACTGCAGCGTATAATGGATAAACGATAGAAATGTTCCTGATAAACTGTTTTGTACGTTGAAAGCTGATATGTAAAATGTGGGAACGTTATTTCTCATCCTAGCAATGCCATTGCACAAAAGCACGAGCTTCCAGTCCTAAGCCATTGTAATCTAAGGCTTACGCAAGGGAGTGCACCGCTCGGTAATCTACCGTATGTGACCCCAGCATGGTGCGCTCCCCCATTCTTTATCTCTAAACATTGCTGCACTCTCGCCAACGCATACCACATTCCCCCTCTAATTTACATCCGTGCGTCATCACGTATGGGGCCTCCACCCAGAGAGCCCCACCCTCCACCTCAACGTCATTCTCCTCCCTGTCCACTAGATCAATGTTCATCCTCCCCATGGAAGACATAGTTCGAAGAGTGTAACTGATAAAGCTGTTCAACAACTCCATGAAAGGTTCTCTCCCAGCTGTGGTAGCATTAGCCAGCTTCTGCTCTAGCTAGATTCTTTTCTGCCTTTCTGCCAATTTGTCAGAAGTCAACACTCCTTGCCAGGCAAACTAGTCATAGACAGGTTAATAGTGAAATAAAAAATTATGTGCATACCGTTTAGCATGCACAGTAAAACGAACACTGAAGGACCTTATTTGGTGGATGTAATTTCGCCATAGGCCCTTCTGGCGGCCTTGCAGGAATCATATCGAGTGCACGCGTGTACACACACATTTCCGCGCTACAAGCTTGCAATTGCGGGACTAGCAAGGGGCGAACGAAGTTGCTCGCAGACGACGAACTTTCGCGCAGTGCACGAATAGGGTTACAAGCTGGACAGCCCGGCGAGGGATCGCAGTTGTTCGTAGACGATGAAGGTGATGGCAGTCATGGGACCCAGGCGCGCGTAATTCGCGGCGCAACCTTTGTAAAGCCCGCGGATACCCTCCGTGCGGAGAATCTGCAGGTAGCGGGAATGACGGGAAACAGGGGGGAAGAAGGTAAGGCATGAAAGGGACTGGGGTGCGTGAGTGACCGAGGGATGAGTTATGAAGTTCGATTCTACGCGTGTACCTTTTCCGGTAAATGGATTAAAGTGCTATTACACAAACACCTGACTAACGACACATTCACCCACTGGGTAAGGGCTTGTGTGTAATCACTCACCGAGTAAGCGCAGTGCATGGATCCGCGGTAAACGATAGCTCCCCCGGCTGCTGGCGGAGCTGCGCCAGCCAAGGGCGCAGCAGCGGGCGCAGGACCCAGCGGAGGCAGTCCGCGCGCAGCAGGCAGCGGCGGCGGGCGCGCGGAAGGAGCAGGGGAGGCGGAAGAAGTGGAGTACGCGAGCGCGGGTTGGAGCTGGGCGGAAGAATTGTGCGGAGCGGGGTTTTGGAGGTTTACGGGAGAAAACGCGGACGAGGCTCCGCTTATCGTGGCATTTGACTGGGGGGGGATCGACGGGGGAGCGGATGGCGGGGGGAGCGGGGCTCGGGGGGCCGCGGAGGCGGCGGAGGAGGCGGAAGAGGCGGAAGCGGCGGCGGAGATTTTCTTAACTGCCATCATGCGCGTCTTGACTGTATCGAAGGGGGACGACGCGAGCGTGGAAACGGCACCCGCGAGCATGGACGCACTGAGGTGAAGAGGTAGACCGTCCGAGACGCCAGCCCGCGCTTTGAGCATTTGTTTGCATTCGTCGTACACCGCACATTGCGCCGCCGTGAGCACCGCAGAGCGCCCCATGGACGGCCCCACGCCCTTCCACAGCGCGCCGACTCCCTCCGCCCGCGCGATCTCCAGAATCTGCCCCGTCGTCGACCGGCTGCTCCGCGCACCCGCGCTTCTCGCGGCGGCGTTCGCGGCGCCGTTCGCGGCGCTGCCGGCGGCGGCCGTCTCGGAAATCATTTGTAACCGGACCTTCGCGACATCCAGAGGATTTGACACGGCTGTAGCGAACGATCCAGACATAATCCCCGCGAGGGCTTTATGTCCCATATGCACCTGCGACTTGTCTTTAGGTGCGATCATATTGCGACACGGCTCGTACAGGCCGAGTCGCAGGCAGCCGTAGGATAGGGCGCGAACCACGGCGGGTTCGACGCCGCGGTATAAAGCGCGCACGCCGCCTTCTTGAAGGAGCTTGCGCGTGGTGGCTAGCATTGTGGAGGAGGGGCCTCGTTGGCCCACTGCTTGCATCTGCTGCTGCACCTTAACCACGTCTGATGGGGGGAGGGGGAAAAGGAGGGAGTGGAGGGAGGTGGGGGAGGGGGGGATGGTCAGGACATGAGGATGAATATTGGGCAGGAAAGTGAACGGAATTATGAAAACCGGGAACCGGTAGAAGTTTAATTCTTTCCGAGAAAACAATAATTCACTCTCTGGTTGTTTTCTTTTTTCTTTTTCATTTCGCACAATTGTGGGACGCGTGTAGCGATAATTTGATGGTCTACCTCAGCAGCACGTACCGACGGGGTGTGTGGTGGCTGTGGAGATTGCGACGGCCGTGCCGCTGGTGGCGAAGGTTCCGAGCATCTCCTTGGTCTTCTTCCACGCCGGCGACGACTCTTGCGACGGCGACGATTTCGACGACGCGACGGCCATGACGACAAATTCCTATGCAGGAGATTCGAGAATTTCGAAGCGGTAGAGATGGAAGCTGAGGCCGTGGAATATTTGGAATATAGAATGACCTGAAGTGAGGATGTCTGTCAGTCAGGTGAAAGACGGAGCTGCGAGGAGAGGAAGGCTCAGGTACTAAATATGGAGGCGCGTGAATGATGATGTTGAGAAAACTACCCCTTAAATACCACCGCCTTAAACGAACGGAGACGGAATTCGCGGCAAGGGGACTCTACGGCGACGTCTGAATAAGATGCACGCACGTAAGCACTGCCCGAGTCTACCTCTGGTTGTAACTGGCTCAAGGGTTGGGCTGCAACAGCAGGCGAACAGTTCGGTACACTATTGAAGTCGTGCCGAAGACTTGAGCCCGATGGATGCGAAGAGGATAACGAAGATGCTGCACTCCGCTAAATGCGTTGCCACGGGACACTCGCAAAGGATGGGCTTCGCCAATAAACACTAGTCCAACCCTCTCTTGCCTCAAAGTCAAGGCAGAACGGGAGTGTTTCTTCAGTGACAGTCTACGGGCGATACGTTGAACCTTGCTGGTTCAAGAAGAAATGAGTGAGGGATCTCTTCACACGGCGTGACCATAAAATACTCCAGCTGTCTAGAATCAATGTTTCCAAGGAGCCAAGGGAAAACTGTCGCTTGGGGGAGACGCTCCTCCAATGGCAAAGCGACTGCCTCACATCACCTAGAGGGACCGGACCGAAATATCTTGTACCGCACTGCTTAGAGTGGTATTAAAGCCCGCGTCCCAAATTGCGGGCCGCGAGGGTCAAGTTTTTAAAACTTGACGAAGTTGAGTGTCCAAGCTTTTGAAAGTCACGCACTTGCAATTTGGGACTTTCGAAGACAGATTCACTCACCAGGGGGAAAACCGAGGGTTGGCTGGGTCTCGCGAAAAAAACGAACCTAGACGAAATCGGAAACTCTCGCCAAAGCCCACACCAGAAAAACTCCCTCTGGTCAACTTTTAAAAGCATGAACAATTTGGGCCGCCGGCTTTAATCGTCACCGTACCCGAATGGCTTGAACCGCATTGTTGGATCTCTCGAGATTCTTGGGGCAAGGGTGGATGGATGTGTGGAGAGGAGGGAGGGTTGTGTGGATGGCTTTTGCGGGTAGGGGAGATGAATCGGAGTGCCACCTCCGTGGGAGGGGGAGGGAGGGATGACCCACCGCGCGCTCTGCGCTCCGCGTCCTGCGGTTTCGGAAGGACAGAGGCGGAGTGGACTGGATGACTCTCGCGGTGTTCGCGCATAATCGCGAAGAGGTTACCTGCTGCCATTTATGGACAAAGCTGGACGACGAGGTTCGGGAAAGGTTTCGCGATGGACGAGGCGTTGCTGAACTTGCGGAGAGTTCATTCCTTCCCGAGTACTTCCTGGACCGCACGATAAAAGAGCGACCCGGGCCTCACCCAAACTTCTCCTCGTTGGCAGCCGTCCACCTATTCAGAGCTTCTGGGGCTGTCAGCCAGCGAATCAGACAGGAGATCAAGGGGACTCATCGCAGATGGACACGTGGGAATTGAAATGCAGAATGGTGCGTCAGCAAAGCTGTAACGGCGACGAATTGCCTTCACGCCACCAAACCGTCATCCACACGCACACACGGGGATGGAAAAAAGAGTTGCACAATACGTACACGAAAGACATCCCTGGCGGTTCGTCCCAATGAGCTGAATCTCTTTTGCTATAATCATGTACACCAAAGAGGGTGAGTAACAAAACGACCTTATAATGTGAAGCCGCCCAAATCCATGTTATAAGAAATTCACAAATGATGGAAGCGCATTGCGCATCTGAGCCAGGCAGGTCAGAGCACGTTCCAACACTCTCTCTGCCGACAGAAGCTTCGATCCTTGCAACTGTAAACACATGCATTTCAGCAAACATAAAACACGATTGAAGGTAAGTAGCTCTCCAGCTCCATAGAAAGAAGCAAGAATAATAATAAAGGAGAAACGAAGAAAAAAAAGGTGGTATTTTCCTATCTCACCTCTATTCTTCCCGACCGAAAGGAGAGGCCTTCACGCATAACCTTCTGCTGCACAGCATCCCTTAGGATCTCAAAGGCCGGAAGCTTCATCGCAGTTTCCATGACTATGGTGGTGCCCTGCTCCCTCTGTAGAATGCGGTAGATGCCCAGATCTGCCGCCATGCGCCGCACAAAGAGATGCTTGAAGATTAACTGAAGGGGGGGGGAGAGGGAGGGGGGCGGGGGGGGGGGGGGGGGGGGGTGGGGAGAAGGCATGGAGAATGAGGGAGGCAAGAGGAGGGAGTTAGGTGGATAGCAGATGCCCAGATCTGCCGCCATGCGCCGCACAAACAGATGCTTGAAGAGCAACTGTGGTGGGGGGGGGGGGGGGGGAAGGTGGTGGAAGGGAGGTGGGAAGTGGGAGTCAGAATGTGATAGATGCCCAAATCTGCTGCCATGCGCCGCACAAACAGATGCTTTGAAGGGCATTCGTGGTGGGTTGGGTGGGGGGTGGGAGGGGGAGGGAAGGGAAGGAGCAGAGAGTAAACACTCACAGCCAGGACAGTCAAGCCCACTCCCCTCCTACATTCATCTCACCTCCACCTGCGCAGGCTCGTCCCCATACTCGGCGCGCATCTCCCTGCAGAACGCCAGCAGAGCCGGCATGCCCTCTGCTGCTCCACTCACAGTCAGGACAGTCAAGCCCACTCCCCTCACTGCCTACATTCAACTCACCTCCACTTGCGCCGGTTCATCCCCATACTCGGCGCGCATCTCCCTGCAGAACGCCAGCAGAGCCGGCATGCCCTCTGCTGCTCCACTCACAGCCAGGACAGTCAAGCCCACTCCCCTCACTGCCTACATTCAACTCACCTCCACTTGCGCCGGTTCATCCCCATACTCGGCGCGCATCTCCCTGCAGAACGCCAGCAGAGCCGGCATGCCCTCTGCTGCTCCACTCACAGCCAGGACAGTCAAGCCCACTCCCCTCACTGCCTACATTCAACTCACCTCCACTTGCGCCGGTTCATCCCCATACTCGGCGCGCATCTCCCTGCAGAACGCCAGCAGAGCCGGCATGCCCTCTGCTGCTCCACTCACAGCCAGGACAGTCAAGCCCACTCCCCTCACTGCCTACATTCAACTCACCTCCACTTGCGCCGGTTCATCCCCATACTCGGCGCGCATCTCCCTGCAGAACGCCAGCAGAGCCGGCATGCCCTCTGCTGCTCCACTCACAGCCAGGACAGTCAAGCCCACTCCCCTCACTGCCTACATTCAACTCACCTCCACTTGCGCCGGTTCATCCCCATACTCGGCGCGCATCTCCCTGCAGAACGCCAGCAGAGCCGGCATGCCCTCTGCTGCTCCACTCACAGCCAGGACAGTCAAGCCCACTCCCCTCACTGCCTACATTCAACTCACCTCCACTTGCGCCGGTTCATCCCCATACTCGGCGCGCATCTCCCTGCAGAACGCCAGCAGAGCCGGCATGCCCTCTGCTGCTCCACTCACAGCCAGGACAGTCAAGCCCACTCCCCTCACTGCCTACATTCAACTCACCTCCACTTGCGCCGGTTCATCCCCATACTCGGCGCGCATCTCCCTGCAGAACGCCAGCAGAGCCGGCATGCCCTCTGCTGCTCCACTCACAGCCAGGACAGTCAAGCCCACTCCCCTCACTGCCTACATTCAACTCACCTCCACTTGCGCCGGTTCATCCCCATACTCGGCGCGCATCTCCCTGCAGAACGCCAGCAGAGCCGGCATGCCCTCTGCTGCTCCACTCACAGCCAGGACAGTCAAGCCCACTCCCCTCACTGCCTACATTCAACTCACCTCCACTTGCGCCGGTTCATCCCCATACTCGGCGCGCATCTCCCTGCAGAACGCCAGCAGAGCCGGCATGCCCTCTGCTGCTCCACTCACAGCCAGGACAGTCAAGCCCACTCCCCTCACTGCCTACATTCAACTCACCTCCACTTGCGCCGGTTCATCCCCATACTCGGCGCGCATCTCCCTGCAGAACGCCAGCAGAGCCGGCATGCCCTCTGCTGCCGCCTCCTCTGCTTCCCTGGGCAGGCTGGCTCGCACTGCTGAGTCGGACACGTAGGATGCTGGGATGGGGGGGAGGGGGGCGAGAGGCAGGTCCAGCTGCAGGGTTGCGGGATATGGGGATGGGCAAAGGGAAAAAAAGTGAGTGAGGCGGTTGGTGTGAGATAGACCTTTCCTCCTTTTGCTGCCGCCTCCTCAGCCTCTCTTGGCAGGCTGGCTCTCACTGCTGAGTCGGACACGTACGATGCTGGGATGGGGGGGAGGGGGTCGAGAGGCAGGTCCAGCTGTTTGGGGGGGAAGGGAAGTGGGGAAGGTGGAGTGGGGAGGGTCAGGAAAGGCATGAATCATACGCTAATGCTGCTGCTGCTGCCGTCTCCTCTGCTTCCCTGGGCAGGCTGGCTCTCACTGCTGCTTTGAGTCGACTCAAATGCTTTTGAATTGACTCAAATGCTTTTGAATCGACTCAAATGCTTTTGAATCGACTCAAATGCTTTTGAATTGACTCAAATGCTTTTGAATCGACTCAAATGCTTTTGAATTGACTCAAATGCTTTTGAATCGACTCAAATCAGGCTGGCTCTCACTGCTGCGTCAGACACGTAGGATGCTGGGATTCCGCAGGGGGGCGACAGGCAGGTCGAGCTGGAGGGGTGGGGGATATGGGGAAGGTTGTAGGGAAAGAAGAGAGACGGGAGAAAAAGGGCTGGCATGAGATCAATGCTTGCTGCCGCTTCCTCCACCTCACTGCGGCGTCAGGCATGTAGGACGCGGAGATGGGGGGAAGTGGGGCGAGAGGCAGGTCCAGCTGGGGGGGGGAGGGAGGAGTAAAGGGGAGAGGTAGAAGGAGAAACACGAAGGTTGTAAGGACACAGGTTACATGGGATGGGAGAGAGGGGGTGGGTGTGTTATGAACCTTTCCTCCTGTTGCTGCTGTTGCGGCATCCTCTGCTGGTTTTTGAGGCGCCTCAAAACCGCGAGTCATGAGACGACTTTTTAGGCGCCTTTTTTTAGGCGCCTAAAAAATGGTTACATCGGAGAGAGGGGGTGGGTGTGATATGATCCTTTCTTCCTGTTGCTGCTGTTGCGGCATCCTCTGCTGGTTCTCTAGTAAAGCAACATGAGAAGGTAATAAACTAACCTAATTGCTGCCCCGGGCACGTAGGATACAGGAATGGGGCGGGCCAGGCAGGCACTACGCACCACGCAGCAGCCAGCCATCAAGCAGCAGGAGAAGGTTATAAACTGCTCGACCGCCCGTTCCAAGAGAAAAGCTTCTTTGAACGGGCCATTGGGCACGTACGACGTGGTCTTCTGACATAATTCTCGGCGAGCTGCAAACTGCTAAGAATTATGTCAGAAGGCCATCGGGCACGTACGACGTGCGTGGGGGCCAAGCCAACACACAAAAAAACTTTGAGACGTCTCGAAAAGCACCACGCAACAGCCAGCCGCCAAGCATCGGGAGCACGTTGTAACCTGCTCAATGACCCGTTTAAAAAAGCGCCTTTCGGCCGTCAATGTCCATCGGCCGTCAATGTCCATCCGGCACGTACAACGCGGGGACCAACACACCTACAGCTTTCCAGGGGACCAACACACCTACAGCTTTACCACGAATACGCAAGCCATTCGAAGCAGGAAGGGTTGGGTGTCGTACTTACCCGTACTTCCTTGAACTGCACTCGTGGCAGGCTCTTCTGTTCCACCTGGAAAGGCCAACAGCAACGGAGGGCAGGCAGCAGCAGCACAGAGCAACACTATGAAGCACAGTGATGCATGGATGAGGAAGGGCATTGAGGTGAGTGTGCAAGCTCCCAATACAACCCCGATTCTGCACTATTATCTACTGTCTTGACTTTTGAGTCGACTCAAAAGTCACCTCGCTCCCAATACAACTCCGTTCTTCCCTGCACTATTATCTACTGTCTTTTGACGATAAAACAGTGCAACCACTGTCGTCTGTCCATTGTCTACTGTCTACCCTCTACATTAGTGTCTTGTATCCCACTCACCCGTGTGAGAGTCTCGTGAAGCATCTCCATGAACAGGTAATACCCCACGCCGCCCACATCCCCACTCTGCCGCTCCCCAAACACGTCTCCAATGCCCCGAATGTCCATGTCCCTCTGCGCCAGCAGGTACCCCTCCCCCAGCCCGCTGTGCTGCTGTAGCGCCCTCAGCCGCTCCTGAAGGAGTGGGGAAGGGGTTATGGGGCACATGGCATGGGATATGGGCATCTCAGCTTTGTCCCTCTGCGCCAGCAGATACCCGTTCCCCAACCCACTGTGTTGCTGTAGCGCCCTCAGCCGCTCCTGTAGAGGGGGAGGAGCAGGGGTTATGGGGCACAGGGCATGGGTTATAGGGCAAGAGGCACCTCTGCTCTGTCCCTCTGCGCCAGCAGGTACCCCTCCCCCAGCCCGCTGTGCTGCTGCAGCGCTCTCAGCCGCTCCTGAGGGGAGGAATGAAGTATGGGGCATGAGGTACGGGGCACGGGGCATAGGGTATGGGGCATGGAGTGTTGTGTGCCGACTCGAACAGCAGCGTCCCCCCTTTGTCCCTCTGCGCCAGAAGGTATCCCTCCCCCAACCCGCTGTGCTGCTGCAGCGCTCTCAGCCGCTCCTGTTGAAGGGGAGGGCGGGGGGGGGGGGGGGGAGCGGGGTGGAGGGATGCGGGGGGCAGGGGGCAGGGCACGGCACAGGGCGCAGGGTTCAGGGGGCAGTGGGCATTGAGCATGGGTGTGTTAAAAGAGTGGGCTGGAGCCAAACTCCCCACTCTGCCGCTCCCCAAACACGTCTCCAATGCCCCGAATGTCCATGTCCCTCTGCGCCAGCAGGTACCCCTCCCCCAGCCCGCTGTGCTGCTGCAGCGCTCTCAGCCGCTCCTAAGGGAATGGCAAGGGGCAGGGGGGCATTGAGCATGGGTGTGTGCCTGGGGAAGACTTGTTGGAACAGCATCCCCCCTTTCTCCCCCAGCCCGCTGTGCTGCTGCAGCACCCTCAGCCGCTCCTGGAGGGGGGAATGAAGTATGGGGCATGGGTAAGGAGCATGGGGGAATGGTGGAAATGGCATGGGGATTGGGGCATGGGGCAGGGGGCAGGGGGTAGGGGGCATGGGGCAGGGGGCAGGGGGCAGGGGGCAGGGGGCAGGGGGCAGGGGGACCTGAGCTTCAGGCGTTAAGAAGTGCAGGGGCGGGTGGAACAGGCAAAGTAATCGGGCGCTCATTGTAACACCAGCCCATCGTTATGACTTGATATAACAGGCCGACCCAACACGTACCTGGGCTTCAGGCGTTGGGCAGTGCAGGGGCGGATGGAACAGATATAGTAATGGAGTGGAGTGCTCAGGAGCTCGGGTGCGGACAGGCAATTGAGTGAACGATTTTTTAGGCGCCTCAAAAATCAGCGGATGGAACAGATATAGTGAAGGAGTGCTCAGGTGCTCGGGGGGTGCGGACAGGCAATTGAGTGAACGGGTAGCTCATCGTTATGACTTCATATAACAGGTCGCCCCAACTTTTGAGTCGACTCAAAAGACAGGTCACCCCAATACGCACCTGAGTTTCAGGCGTTGGGCAGTGCAGGGGCGGATGGAAGAGGTACAGTAACTGAGTTCTATGCCTCATTGCTATAACTTACACACCAACATGTAATCGCAAGCGCACCTGAGCTTCTGGCGTTAGGCAGTGCAGGGGCGGGTGGAACAGGTACGCGTGGGCTGAGCTGCTAGATCGACCCACTCGCCCTCGCAGCTGAAAGTGGTGAGAGATGGGATGGGAGGGGATGGGAGGGAGGTAGAGATGGGGGCGTAAGGAGTGGGTTAACAGTGCAGGGGCGGGTGGAACAGGTACGCATGTGCTGAGCTGCTGGATCGACCCACTCGCCCTCGCAGCTGAAGGGGGCAAGACGGGGCAACAGACAGGGCGACGACGTGAAGGAGAGAGGGGACAATGAGTAATGTAGAGCATCGACTGCGTGAGAAATGCCACCGTACGGGTAATAATGGTTCAGTACGCTCAAACCCCTTTTGAGAATTCTCAAAATGTCATCATACATGTGTTAATGGTTCAGTACCCGTTTCTTGACATGTATTATACATCATACGTCATTCCTGCATATCCCTAACCTAACCAATGCACTCCTCTGTTCCTCACCTGGTAGATCTGGGCGAGTCCAAACAGGTGGGCATCCTCAATAACAATCGTGTTGACGGTGCAAGTAGAAAGAACTATCCTGAACCGCACTACAACCCTCTGCACGCCTAAGGCCCTCACTCACCTGGTAGATCTGCGCCAGGCCAAACAGGTGGGTATCCTCAATCACAATCGTGTTGACGGTGCGAATGTCGATCCCGCTCTCAATGATGCTCGTGCACACTAGCACATCTATTTCCCCCTCCCCAAACCGCTCCATCACAGCTTCAAGATCAGTGGGGCGAAGCTGAATGGGAGGAAAAGGGAGATCACAAGGGAATGGGAAACATGATGCTCGTGCACACCAGCACATCTATTTCCCCCTCCCCAAACCGCTCCATCACAGCTTCAAGATCAGTGGGGCGAAGCTGAATGGGAGGAAAAGGGAGATCACAAGGGAATGGGAAACATGATGCTCGTGCACACCAGCACATCTATTTCGCCCTCCCCAAACCGCTCCATCACAGCTTCAAGGTCCGTGGGGCGCAGCTGAACGGGGGAAAAGGGGGAGCAAAAGCGGAGAGATGATGCTTGTGCACACCAGCACATCCACTTCCCCCTCCCTCCATCCCTGCTTCAAGGTCAGTGGGGCGCAGCTGAACAGGTGGGGGAAAGGGTGGGGAAAGGGGGAGAAGGGAAGGGGCGGCCACGGGATGGGAAAGATGCTGCTCGTGCACACCAGCTTGTGTACCTCCCCTTCACGTGTAGAGAGGGTGTTCTTGAGACGCCTCAAAAACTGCTCGTGCACACCAGCGTGTCTACCTCCCCCTCACCAAGCCGCTCCATCCCTGCTTCAAGGTCAGTGGGGCGCAGCTGAATGGAGGAAGAGGGGGGGGGAGGGCGAGGGAATGGGGAGTAATGGAGGGAAAAAGGCGTGGGGGTGGGAAGAGTGATGCTGCTCGTGCACACCAGCTTGTCAACCTCCCCTTCACCAAGCCGCTCCATCCCTGCTTCAAGGCCTGTGGACGTCTTATCTCCGGAACGTCTTAGAACAAATGCACTTTTACAAGGTCGGTGCGAAAGTAGAATGGAGATCCGCGCCACATCAGCTTACCTTGCCGTGTGCCACGTCAGCATACCTTGCCGTGTGCCACGTCAGCATACCTTGCCGTGTGCCACGTCAACGCGGGCAGAAGGGAAGAGCTCCCCCAGAAGCATCTGAATCTCCTCTATGCCTGGTGTGACGTGGCACCATGGGATATGACGTGGCATCATAAGATACGATGTGGATGGGGGTTTAAAAGCTGGAATAATAATACGAGGGGATTGCATTGGAAGAGGAGAGAAGAAATAAAATAGAGTACGGACGAGAAGGACTATTGTCACCAGATAGGAAATTATGTAAAATCACATAAACCAAACAGAATATTGCAACTAGATTCGCTCAACCGTGTTCAACTGCACTCACCTTCCACCCTCGGCACCACATAGAACACCTGGCCACCCCTCTCCAGCTCGTCCCCGATGGCGTTCTTCACATTTTCCAAATCGAACTCGAGCAGGTGTGTGTCGATGGGCTGGCGCTCGGGGGGAGGGGTGGTGATGTGACTGATGGGGGGTTGGGGGAGAGGGGGGGTGGGGCATGGGAGAGGGGATGACAAGAGGAGCACAGAGTATAGGCTAGGCTCGGCTGTTGTAACATTTTCCAAATCGAACTCCAAGAGGTGGGTGTCGATGGGCTGGCGCTCGGGAGGAGGGGTGGTGATGCGACTGTCAAGGGGGGGGGAGGGAGGATGATGGGATGGGGGGAGCACAGAGTATAAAGGCTGGGTGGGCTGCTTTCATGTCCTCCTAATCGAACTCAAGCAGGTGTGTGCTGATGGGCTGGCGCTCGGGGGGAGGGGTGGTGATGCGACTGATGGGGGGGTGGGATGCGAGGGGAAGAAGAGTGGGAGGGAGGGATTGGGAAGGGAGCATCGGGAGGAGAGGAGGAGAGGAGGAGGGATGGGGGTGGCCGAGAGAGTCAACACGTCCACGCTCGTGGTGTGACTGACTGCCTGCACACACATGCATGCTCCCTCTTTAACTCACCTGGCATCTCTGAACCCGTGCATGGACATGTAGAGAGTGCGGGGGATGGGGGTGGCCGAGAGAGTCAACAAGTCCACGCTCGTGGTGTGACTGACTGCCTGCACACACATGCATGCTCCCTCTTTAACTCACCTGGCATCTCTGAACCCGTGCATGGACATGTAGAGAGTGCGGGGGATGGGGGTGGCCGAGAGAGTCAACACGTCCACGCTCGTGGTGTGACTGACTGCCTGCACACACATGCATGCTCCCTCTTTAACTCACCTGGCATCTCTGAACCCGTGCATGGACATGTAGAGAGTGCGGGGGATGGGGGTGGCCGAGAGAGTCAACACGTCCACGCTCGTGGTGTGACTGACTGCCTGCACACACATGCATGCTCCCTCTTTAACTCACCTGGCATCTCTGAACCCGTGCATGGACATGTAGAGAGTGCGGGGGATGGGGGTGGCCGAGAGAGTCAACACGTCCACGCTCGTGGTGTGACTGACTGCCTGCACACACATGCATGCTCCCTCTTTAACTCACCTGGCATCTCTGAACCCGTGCATGGACATGTAGAGAGTGCGGGGGATGGGGGTGGCCGAGAGAGTCAACACGTCCACGCTCGTGGTGTGACTGACTGCCTGCACACACATGCATGCTCCCTCTTTAACTCACCTGGCATCTCTGAACCCGTGCATGGACATGTAGAGAGTGCGGGGGATGGGGGTGGCCGAGAGAGTCAACACGTCCACGCTCGTGGTGTGACTGACTGCCTGCACACACATGCATGCTCCCTCTTTAACTCACCTGGCATCTCTGAACCCGTGCATGGACATGTAGAGAGTGCGGGGGATGGGGGTGGCCGAGAGAGTCAACACGTCCACGCTCGTGGTGTGACTGACTGCCTGCACACACATGCATGCTCCCTCTTTAACTCACCTGGCATCTCTGAACCCGTGCATGGACATGTAGAGAGTGCGGGGGATGGGGGTGGCCGAGAGAGTCAACACGTCCACGCTCGTGGTGTGACTGACTGCCTGCACACACATGCATGCTCCCTCTTTAACTCACCTGGCATCTCTGAACCCGTGCATGGACATGTAGAGAGTGCGGGGGATGGGGGTGGCCGAGAGAGTCAACACGTCCACGCTCGTGGTGTGACTGACTGCCTGCACACACATGCATGCTCCCTCTTTAACTCACCTGGCATCTCTGAACCCGTGCATGGACATGTAGAGAGTGCGGGGGATGGGGGTGGCCGAGAGAGTCAACACGTCCACGCTCGTGGTGTGACTGACTGCCTGCACACACATGCATGCTCCCTCTTTAACTCACCTGGCATCTCTGAACCCGTGCATGGACATGTAGAGAGTGCGGGGGATGGGGGTGGCCGAGAGAGTCAACACGTCCACGCTCGTGGTGTGACTGACTGCCTGCACACACATGCATGCTCCCTCTTTAACTCACCTGGCATCTCTGAACCCGTGCATGGACATGTAGAGAGTGCGGGGGATGGGGGTGGCCGAGAGAGTCAACACGTCCACGCTCGTGGTGTGACTGACTGCCTGCACACACATGCATGCTCCCTCTTTAACTCACCTGGCATCTCTGAACCCGTGCATGGACATGTAGAGAGTGCGGGGGATGGGGGTGGCCGAGAGAGTCAACACGTCCACGCTCGTGGTGTGACTGACTGCCTGCACACACATGCATGCTCCCTCTTTAACTCACCTGGCATCTCTGAACCCGTGCATGGACATGTAGAGAGTGCGGGGGATGGGGGTGGCCGAGAGAGTCAACACGTCCACGCTCGTGGTGTGACTGACTGCCTGCACACACATGCATGCTCCCTCTTTAACTCACCTGGCATCTCTGAACCCGTGCATGGACATGTAGAGAGTGCGGGGGATGGGGGTGGCCGAGAGAGTCAACACGTCCACGCTCGTGGTGTGACTGACTGCCTGCACACACATGCATGCTCCCTCTTTAACTCACCTGGCATCTCTGAACCCGTGCATGGACATGTAGAGAGTGCGGGGGATGGGGGTGGCCGAGAGAGTCAACACGTCCACGCTCGTGGTGTGACTGACTGCCTGCACACACATGCATGCTCCCTCTTTAACTCACCTGGCATCTCTGAACCCGTGCATGGACATGTAGAGAGTGCGGGGGATGGGGGTGGCCGAGAGAGTCAACACGTCCACGCTCGTGGTGTGACTGACTGCCTGCACACACATGCATGCTCCCTCTTTAACTCACCTGGCATCTCTGAACCCGTGCATGGACATGTAGAGAGTGCGGGGGATGGGGGTGGCCGAGAGAGTCAACACGTCCACGCTCGTGGTGTGACTGACTGCCTGCACACACATGCATGCTCCCTCTTTAACTCACCTGGCATCTCTGAACCCGTGCATGGACATGTAGAGAGTGCGGGGGATGGGGGTGGCCGAGAGAGTCAACACGTCCACGCTCGTGGTGTGACTGACTGCCTGCACACACATGCATGCTCCCTCTTTAACTCACCTGGCATCTCTGAACCCGTGCATGGACATGTAGAGAGTGCGGGGGATGGGGGTGGCCGAGAGAGTCAACACGTCCACGCTCGTGGTGTGACTGACTGCCTGCACACACATGCATGCTCCCTCTTTAACTCACCTGGCATCTCTGAACCCGTGCATGGACATGTAGAGAGTGCGGGGGATGGGGGTGGCCGAGAGAGTCAACACGTCCACGCTCGTGGTGTGACTGACTGCCTGCACACACATGCATGCTCCCTCTTTAACTCACCTGGCATCTCTGAACCCGTGCATGGACATGTAGAGAGTGCGGGGGATGGGGGTGGCCGAGAGAGTCAACACGTCCACGCTCGTGGTGTGACTGACTGCCTGCACACACATGCATGCTCCCTCTTTAACTCACCTGGCATCTCTGAACCCGTGCATGGACATGTAGAGAGTGCGGGGGATGGGGGTGGCCGAGAGAGTCAACACGTCCACGCTCGTGGTGTGACTGACTGCCTGCACACACATGCATGCTCCCTCTTTAACTCACCTGGCATCTCTGAACCCGTGCATGGACATGTAGAGAGTGCGGGGGATGGGGGTGGCCGAGAGAGTCAACACGTCCACGCTCGTGGTGTGACTGACTGCCTGCACACACATGCATGCTCCCTCTTTAACTCACCTGGCATCTCTGAACCCGTGCATGGACATGTAGAGAGTGCGGGGGATGGGGGTGGCCGAGAGAGTCAACACGTCCACGCTCGTGGTGTGACTGACTGCCTGCACACACATGCATGCTCCCTCTTTAACTCACCTGGCATCTCTGAACCCGTGCATGGACATGTAGAGAGTGCGGGGGATGGGGGTGGCCGAGAGAGTCAACACGTCCACGCTCGTGGTGTGACTGACTGCCTGCACACACATGCATGCTCCCTCTTTAACTCACCTGGCATCTCTGAACCCGTGCATGGACATGTAGAGAGTGCGGGGGATGGGGGTGGCCGAGAGAGTCAACACGTCCACGCTCGTGGTGTGACTGACTGCCTGCACACACATGCATGCTCCCTCTTTAACTCACCTGGCATCTCTGAACCCGTGCATGGACATGTAGAGAGTGCGGGGGATGGGGGTGGCCGAGAGAGTCAACACGTCCACGCTCGTGGTGTGACTGACTGCCTGCACACACATGCATGCTCCCTCTTTAACTCACCTGGCATCTCTGAACCCGTGCATGGACATGTAGAGAGTGCGGGGGATGGGGGTGGCCGAGAGAGTCAACACGTCCACGCTCGTGGTGTGACTGACTGCCTGCACACACATGCATGCTCCCTCTTTAACTCACCTGGCATCTCTGAACCCGTGCATGGACATGTAGAGAGTGCGGGGGATGGGGGTGGCCGAGAGAGTCAACACGTCCACGCTCGTGGTGTGACTGACTGCCTGCACACACATGCATGCTCCCTCTTTAACTCACCTGGCATCTCTGAACCCGTGCATGGACATGTAGAGAGTGCGGGGGATGGGGGTGGCCGAGAGAGTCAACACGTCCACGCTCGTGGTGTGACTGACTGCCTGCACACACATGCATGCTCCCTCTTTAACTCACCTGGCATCTCTGAACCCGTGCATGGACATGTAGAGAGTGCGGGGGATGGGGGTGGCCGAGAGAGTCAACACGTCCACGCTCGTGGTGTGACTGACTGCCTGCACACACATGCATGCTCCCTCTTTAACTCACCTGGCATCTCTGAACCCGTGCATGGACATGTAGAGAGTGCGGGGGATGGGGGTGGCCGAGAGAGTCAACACGTCCACGCTCGTGGTGTGACTGACTGCCTGCACACACATGCATGCTCCCTCTTTAACTCACCTGGCATCTCTGAACCCGTGCATGGACATGTAGAGAGTGCGGGGGATGGGGGTGGCCGAGAGAGTCAACACGTCCACGCTCGTGGTGTGACTGACTGCCTGCACACACATGCATGCTCCCTCTTTAACTCACCTGGCATCTCTGAACCCGTGCATGGACAT